CGACAGATCAACACGCATGTGGCGGGCTATCGCTCTGGAGACGGGGGTCATCTCAAGCTGCCCCAGTCCCACGGAGCTTCCCACTACCGTCATCTCCGAAACAACTGAAAGGACGAGTGTTACTTAGACACGCAGGGCCTGTGGACATTACAGTGAATTACACTCGCCGCAGACTACTTTCAAATGTTCAAATGTTGTACTCACGTAATTCAGCTGATTTCAAACTTAAAGAATGCATTTCTCCTTCCTTGTATGTGTCACCCATCTCAGCCCCTTCTTCATCCAGGCCTTGTTTCAGCCCTGCTGTACACAGGTAGTTTATACATTAACATTATATGCCGACACCTTTGGGTACATGACTTCAGTGCTTAAGGATCATGTGTGCCCTAAGCTACCATCGTCTTTCAGCTGCGAGCGCTGCTCCTGGTAGTACTCGAGCAGCTCCGGGGGAAGACTTTCTCCAGGGGCTCTGGGGGGCAGCAGTAATATGCGGTTCTTGTCATAACCCTTAACCAAACGCAGGATCTACACAGGAGGAAGTGATGGGAAAGAGAAGGAAACCAGAACACATAAAAAGCAGTCATAAAACATAAAAAGCAACAGTTAGAAGAAAATTAAATGTTTTGAGGGACCAGTTAAGGAAATATGATAAAAGAAAGATCTCCAAGGGGCAAAGAGTGGTTGGAAAGAATAGGACGAAAACATGTTACTTCCTGCGGTGTAATGCATTGTGCAGAGGTACCTTTTCTTCTTTGAGATACTGTGTGTCTAATTCCAGGGAGTAGAACTCAACGGGGAAAGGGCAGGGGTTTCTGACGCTGACGTTGACCTCGGCGTCAGTAGCGAGAGGAAGGCATGGCCCGAGCTCCAGCACCGACGGGCAGAACTCCAGATGGGGCTCCTCCGCCCGCCCCCGGGCTGTAATGAACAGCTGCTGGCTGCTCTCAGCCACGCGGACATGTAGCTGCCTGTTGTAAGAACCCTGTAGAGACACGTGTGCAATAGGTCATCAATCTATGTAGTAATAATGTTGCTCTGCTATGTGTCATGCCAATCTCTAAAGTCAATTAAGCGCTTTACCCCCTCAGCAGGGGTGAACTTTATCTGGACATTGACCCGTTCACCGGGAGACAGCATGCCAGAGCTGGGAATCATCTTGAACACCACGGCAGGCGGTTGCTGCATCTCCAAGTCCTTTTTACGCTGTTAGAGAGCAAGAACACCAAATGCACCAAATCTTTTCCTAAAGCAGTTGTTGCCATAACTTAAAAACTGAAGATGTCCAAAAAATGAGAGATGTGATACCTTTTTGATAGGCTTTCCCTTCTCAGCTATACTCCATGTGCACGGCACAGACTCCTGATTAAACAGCTGTATCGTCCTCATCTGATGGGGAACAAAAACAACAGCAACAACCCGAAGGCATTCTTGTGTCAATTTGGCTACAACAGACTTTAGTCAAATCAATGTCGGATACTAGAAAAAATCTAAACTTCCAACGCTGTGTTCTCATTCAATCATAGAACCTGAAAAGCAACCTCAGCAGGGCTGCATAAAGGTATCTCTTGTCCCATATCATTACCTGACACATGCCACACTGCACAGTGTCAAACTGCAGGGTATCCGTTGAAATAGTGACGGCCGGCTCCGTCACCAAAGCACACAGCCGCACCTGGACCGTCGGGCCGCCTACGACCTGTAGATCCAAGTGGAGACAAAGAGGCCACAATGCTACCGACAAGGCAGACAACGAACCAAATGTGTCAAAGTTTCATCCTGAATCAGAAATAAGCCCATGTTTACCTGTATTGACATTACAACACTCGTATCCCCCATCTTCAGGTCGGCTGTCTGTGGGTCAAATTTGACCGTAAAAGTCTGTGTCTCTCCACAAGGCAGGTTTTTCACGCTTTGAAAGTCTGTACTGAATCCTTTGAAGAGGCAACACAATAGTGTTATTCATTTAAAATGTAGAATATTGAGAGCCCATAGAAGAGGGATTCATATCATATCATATCGCCGCATTGATAATGCAGCCCTCCCTTTGAGAAAATCCATCAATCCATTTCATAATTCATTGATATCCTTCTACTAACTTTGGGTTTGTCTTTTTTTCTCAAGCAAAATAATAAATCTGTAAACTTGTCTCTCCGACCTATTCAAATAATTTAACCTTCTACAAGTCTTTCAGTATTTCTAAATCTTTATTAAATATGGAATGTCATTAATTCAATAATAAATAAATATATACACAAATAATCAACTAAACTAATATTCCTATGAAATGAATGAAATAAATAAATGAGGGAATACGAATATCAATTAAATTAAATATTTGAGTCAATATAGTTCAAATAAAGTCACTCTAAAAAAGGAAATTAGTTGTCTTTTATTTATTTTAGGCAGCTTTTATTTCATAGCGCAATATGCATTTATTTCAGGGGACTTAACATGAGATATTATATTCCTGTGAATGGGTTGAGAGCCACAGATTTAGACCAAACAAAAATGATCTAGCTGGCTGACTCGGCCTCTCTCCCTACAGACCGCTGAGACAATAGACAAACATTTTGAAGCTGACCTGAGTCCCAGGGCGGATTGACAAGTTATTTCTCAAATTTCATGTGGAATTTCTGTGTGTCCTCGAGCTCATTCAGTGCCCTTTTTCTGTCTGAAGTTTGTGAATGAGGATACCTGTTCCAGCTAGAGGTTTGACATTGGCCTTGAAGGACACAGCCACTGAACCAGTGTTCGTCACTTTTACACTGTGACTGCGGGGAATGGCTGGAATGACGTAACCGAAATCCAAAACATACTCTGGAAGCAGGAACCTAGGGCAGTGGAAAGAAGTACTTAAATACGACGATAACAAGCAACATCCATGTCAAAGGTTTGTTTACCTTGATACTACTACTCATACTATAGCTATATGATTATTGGATTCAATAGTTCAGGTTGTCATGATCATAACATGTGAAACAAGGGACTATTGAGTGGAATGGTATGAGTGAAAACAGCCGATGCACACATGAGATACAGGACAGCGCTTTATGCAAGAACCACAGAACAAAAACAGTCAGACTGTTATCATTCATTAACCCAAAGTTTTGATTACCCCAACACAGTTCTTCTTTCAGACCAATGAGTGGGCCATCTATTCAACCAAAGTCTGTATGTGTGTGTGTGTTTAAACATACTGGCTAAGTTTGTGCCACCTCCTGGAGGAACCTTGCAATTCTCTGAGCTCAAGCAGGCAGTCGGTCACAGCGAGGGCATTCTGTTTCACCATCATCCTCTCGATCTCCATGTGAAGCAGCTCTTTATACTGGAGGCAGCAGGCATAAGAGAGAAGGAAGAGGGATACCCGTTGAACACATGAAAGTGACTAAAAAAGTATGGCAGGGTTACGTAAGCACCAAACAGCACAGTCTCAGCGGTGAAAACAATAATTCAAGGTACCTCCTCGTCAAAGTGAATCACATGCCCCATGTTTGGAGCTCGCAATACAAGTAGATGCTATGATGGCAAAGAAAAGTGTCTCATAATCTGTTAAGATTCACCTGAAGAAAGATATCCTCACTTTTTACTCTGACTAGTAACTCCAGTGCCAATACTACTTCAGCTTGGGAGTCTTACACAGATTTAATACACAATGTTTAAGATTTCATTAAGGCCAACTGAGGTAATTAACTGCGCTATACTCCCTTTGCACAACTCTAAGGCCGGTTACACATCGACCCTGCGACGACATTACACCTGCAACAAGTCCTGGTGGTGTTTGGGTCGGCTTCTTCTCATTGACATCCTGTTTTCATGAAGAGGAAAGATTTCGTGCTTTAATCCAGGTTCCTACAAACGACACAGCCTCGAATTTTTTTATTTAAGCGTGGAATAAGGACAATTTGGTTTCTCGCTTTCTCGCCCTGTAGTACAGGATGGCTGATTTCTGATTCCGCTGATGGGTATGAAATTCTTTAGTGGCTGTGTTCTTGTGGGTAATAGAGTGGATCTGAGGTACTTTAACCGAAACAAATTCATTTGGAGGTGCATTGAATTGCTGTTCTCCCATGACGCGTCACAATTAAATATTAATCAATATTTATTATCAGTCTGAATGTCACAACCTGGCTCTTTGGGCCGGGTTGGAGTTGCACTGTTTCTAGAGGTTTAACATGTTCTTTATTTAACATAAGACAACGAAAAATCAACAAACATTACAGATGGGATGTGAACGTCAGTATTATCAGTAGTGTAGGATGTGTATGAGGGTAGAGTGTAAAAGATGGGTGTTGTCAAGGGCATATAACTAAAAGAAAACTGAGTCAACACGGCTGCCCTACCACACCATGGACGTCTGCTGGAGAGACAAGAGAGAGCGAATTAATTAACACTGGGTTTTCTAATCCCAGGGCACCGGGCCCAAGTGCCTTCAATCACCAAACCTGCTGCCTCCACAGCAGCGTCGCCGCGATGTCCACGTGTATATGCTGGCTTAAAAATTCATTCCTTGTCTAATATATAATGGATAAAATCATTTCGTCCTCCTCGTATTGGATTTCCACACCATCTGACAAACATTTTAGAAGGTTCATCTCTATCTTGCTGGGACGTAATTGTATATTGACTTCACACTGCAAAGTCAAGAGTTGCCTCTTAAGATTGGAAGGGAAGGGATGTGGTGGTAAATTCATGCTAAAGTGTTGAGGTCCTTATCTGTCCTATCCTTTGTCCCACATTTGACCACAACTTAGTGTTTTTCACCCAGCCTGCATGTTTACTAACCTTCCTATCATTTCAGATCCTCCCACATCAGCTCCTTACCTCACCTGGTTCTCCTTGCCCTTCTCACCTGCAACACATCCCCTTGTCAGCCAATCACTTTAATCCTGTCACATTCTGTTGCTCCCTGCCAGATTATCTTGTGTGTAAAACAAGTTTTCCAGAGTTTCTGTATTAGTCTGCTCTGACCGTACCTGCCTTTTGACCACGTATTCTCTGCCTGCCCCGTTTCAGATTGTCTGCCTGTCTGATTGCCATCCTGGTTCTGACCGTGCCGGTTTTCATCTACGGATTCTCTGCCTGCCCCTCTGGATTTTTTTGCCTACTGACGGATCCCCCGGTTTTCGACCTTGTCTGAACTTCCAGTAAAATCTATTTGTCTCGCCCATTGTTGTCGGAGTCGTGCTTTTGGGTTCCGTCCTGCACCGGTACCAAGACCCGTGACCTCCTTATAGAGTCCCTTATTCTGCCCGCGCTAAACAAAGCGCTGTATAGTCTATACAGACGGCTTAATAGAAACCTACATGATGCATAAAAGCAATGTTTAAAAAAACAATCTTGGTCACAAACTGTGAGTGGGGGGTTGGCCTTGGTTGTTTGTCTTTCATCGGACGCCGTTCCATTCATAAGCTCGACTCCCTCCACAGCGGTCCTGGCCTGCAGCACCAAATCACTGAAAGACTCCTCTGCTGCAAGGGAATCATTGTAAAGAAGAATTACATTTGTGCCAGTATTTGCTGCCAAACTGTCCATCGACCAGTTACCGGCATATGGAATGCCGTTTTAGTCAAAATTAAATAAATGAATAAATACATGAAATATGCATTTGAAATACATTACTTTTATTTCATAATGCCACTTTTCATTTCATGGTACTTTTATTTCATAATGCCACTTTTCATTTCATGGTACTTTTATTTCATAATGCCACTTTTCATTATGAAATAAAAGACTGGAAATGAAAAGTGGCATTATGAAATAAAAGTAGGCTACCATGAAATGAAAAGTGGCATTATGAAATAAAGGTACCATGAAATGAAAAGTGGCATTATGAAATAAAATTACCATGAAATAATTAAATGTATTTAATATTGATGTATTTATTGCCTCATTTATTTATTTCAAATGCATATTTCATGTATTTATGTATTTATTCATTTATTTAATTTTGACTAAAACGGCATTCCATACCGGCACGCAGTCGAAGAATGTCATCGCTTCATAATTTATCCTAGTCCTAGTCAACATATGTGGTATTAGTTAGAAATTCAAATGAATTCTATGGGAAGAAATGTGTTTTGTAAGGCAACAGTGACCTTTAACCACCACATTTTAATGGCTTTACCTACTAGGTGCTTATTTCATTTAGAAGAAACAAACTATGAAACCACATAATTACAACTTCTCCGTTACTGCTGATTACTGTCCCAATGCAGGGGGAACATTACATTCTAGTGACATTACCCCATAACTGCAGTTGGGCATATTGGGTTATGGGTATGCATACAATTGCAAGGCGGCAATAGGATTTTATGGCTAAAATAACATACTAGTAGATGAAAAACATATTTCCTTAGCTTGTTGAGTGAGGATATGGTCATGTTTCTGTGTATGAGAAAATGTCAATACTTACGCAGGTTTTGTGGCAAGTTAAGGCTGATCCTTGGGAACACTCCCTCTCCAGTCAGCGTAAGGACCTGTGGCAGTAGAAAAGCCACCTGCAGCTGAAGCTGCCTCTCAAACCTCTCGGGGGTGCCTGGGAGGTAGAGCACACGCAGACATCGCTCCGCACCGGGATCAATGTAACCCTGGCACACACAAAAGAAACTAGGTTAAAAAACAACAACAACAACAACAACCGTATCCATGATAAATGACCCTCCCACATCCGAAAGAGTCCAAAGATGACCTCACCGTAGCGGGGATGACCATGGGCCGGCCTGGTATGACATGTCTTTCCCCTTTTTGCTCATCCTCCAGGGCCTTCCTCTGTCCCCCTGCCTCCTCTTCTGCGTCCTCATCCTTCTTTTTAGGATGTATGATAAAGTTAAAGCCTATCTTGCCAGTATTGGTCAGGGTCACCTCAGCTTCCCCTTCGTGATCAAACGGCTGGATAAAAAGAGACAAGAAGCAATATTGGAAAAACTCTACCCAGTGTCTCTTTAGTGGAGTGGGTGTTCAGTAGCGATGATACAGTACAGTAATAACGCATGATGGCCTCCATTTAAACTGACAATTTTGTGTTAAAGAAGATATGGTTTTACTGTGAAATGAGCAGAATGGAACTTCTTACATGGCTGTTAAAAGTGTGACGGTGAGAAAGAGACAGAAAGAAAGGTAGACAATCATGAGGGTTGTCATGACCTGGCTCTTTGGGCCGTGACAGGATTGGAGTTGCACTGTTTCAAGAGATTTAACATAAGACAAAGAAAGATCAACAAACATTACAGATGGGATTTGAACGTCAGTATTATCAGTAGTGTAGGATGTGCATGAGGGTGGAGTGTAAAAGATGGGTGTTGTCAAGGGCATCTAACTAAACGGAAACAGGAGTTAACACGGCGGCTCCCCTACCACACCACCTGACGTCTGCCGAAGAGACAAGAGAGAGCGCGAATGAATGAACACTGGGTTTTCTAATCTCAGGGCACCGGGCCCAAGTGCCTTCAATCACCAAACCCAGCCCACAAACCTAAATCCCATTGGAAGGCTGCTGCCTCCACAGCAGGGGTCGCCACAATGTCCATGTGTAAATGAATCACACGCGTAACGCCAAAAATGGAAAAAAATTGTGTCAACGCCTTGACTATTGATCTTGCAGAAATCGAACACAAAGGATATACTGCAGGATATCTTGTTGTCTGGCACATCACAGACAGCAGATAAGCACAACCAGACTTTCAGGTTGGCAAAGGCCCCAGACAATCTACAATCGAGTGCTCAAATGGTTGACTGATCGCTGGAATGGGACAGAGAGGTGCTGGCTTGATTGACTGACTCGTCTTACCTGTAAGTTGACATGTATGACACGATTTTATGTAATTGGAGTCATCACGCATAACTTCGGCCAAAAGTAATATCGCAAAACGCGATCATATGTTTTTCTCACAGCCAAATGACCGGATTCGTCATGTGCAATCTTTAACACTTTTTTTCAGACACAACCATTTGAAACACTGGCCACCACAAGAGCCACATTTCCAACCTCACTTTCAGGCAAAATACTGGTCAACAAACCAGACAGACGGATCAACCTGCTGACTTTTAACCCACTCTGGCCGAGGGACGGATGGGGGAAGATCAGGTAAAGGAATCTTTCGTCTCGCTTTGCTCTCCACTAACGTCTGAAACAGTCTTCGCACGCTGCGCACGGCGCAGGCTGCAAACACACTTGGATATCTCTGACCACACTCATCACCATTAACTCTGGAGCAACCACAGGAGATGGCGGCACAGAAGGCCAGACTGCCCCACCAGCCAGGTCATTTCCTAGAATTATCTCCATGCCCACCCACTGCAACAATACCAGGTGACAATCAAGCACCATCTTGTGCCGCGGTACAGGTACCAAACCCATCCCCATACCTCAGAATAAAATACCCCGTTTCTGTTGCAGGTGAAAAAGGCAATGCTGATTCCAAAATGAAGGAATGCTTAGCACCTGTGTCTCTCAAAATCTTTATAGGCACACGCTCCTCACTTCCCACCAGAGAAACTACAGCATCAGCAATGAAAGGCTCAAAATCATCACTCTCTGGACCGACACATTCAAGACTTGGCCCCTGACCACTGGAACAGGCCAGAGCTGGAGCAGATGGATACGACTTTCGTTTATTCCTATTTCGTAGTACAGGGTACTGATCTTTCCAGTGGCCCGGGCCTTGACAATAATGACATATGCCCCCTCTGCCACCATCATCTCTCACATGTATGGCTTTAAATGCATGCGTGGGACGGGCTACTAAGGACTGGACCCTGAAACGAGCGCTCCCAAGGTTGTTACCTTCACGTCTATCACGGGTTGAGCACATCTCACCAAAAACACTTTTGTGCATCAACACAAAATTGTCCGCCAGCTCAGCCGCTCTAAGTGCAGTGGTTGCCTTCTGTTCACTTACATACATCGCAATACGCTGAGGAATCAAATTTTTAACACTATCAAATCACAAAGTCCATCAAAACTCTCAACACCGCACCGGAACACCAACGGTTGAAATGGCACAACAAATCACGAGCAAATTCCACATTAGTTGTTCACCACTTTTCTCCCACTTCCTGAATTTCTGGCGGTAAGCCTCAGGGACCAACTCGTATGCTTTCAAGACAGCAGATTTGACCTTAGTATAATTCTTTAATCACCAAACCCAGCCCACAAACCTAAATCCCATTGGAAGGCTGCTGCCTCCACAGCAGGAGTCGCCACAGGGGTGATTCAAAAACTACCCAAAAAATTCAAGAACAGAGGGGGGGGGGGGAGAGACACACACAGCAAGAAAGAAAAGATAATAGAATAGAATAGAGCTGAACAGACAGGAAGCTCAATAATTGTTCTGCTGCATCGCTCATTTTGATTAAATCATAAATCATTACATTTTGTTTTTAATATGAAGGATAACTAGTCTGGATGGCTTTGGTAAAAGACCACCGTGTGAAAAACCATACTGAACATTTTTGATCCTGTCTTTGAGAAATCCGGAACCACATCTTTTTGATTGGTATGGCTTGTTAGGTAAACAAGGTAAAGGAGCCGTGCCTACATACCTGCAGACCAAAGTTAATATGTGTTGAGTCCAGGCTGTAGCTGATTAAAGAGGCCTCTCCTCGGAGTTGGACCTCATATGATGGCCCGTCTTCAACACGGCACTGTGCGACCACCTCTTTGCTCACATTTTCGTGGCCGTAGAAGCAGAAAACGACCTGCTGCTGCTCCCCGGGTTGCAGATGACCGAATAGCGGCAAGATATCAAACACCTAAAGGCACAGGAGGAAAAAAAACGATGAATTCTCATTTTTATTGACTGATTCTGCGGTTATTGTGCACTGACATTAAAGGGAGGGGTTGGTGTTAAGAGTTTTCTCTTCCGTGCGTCTCTTAGTACTCGGCCGCCTGCCTCTACATCATTGTATGTTGAGTTTGTTGCTTTTGGGCCTCCTTCCTGGCTGCTGGTCCACTCTCCTCACACAACTGTCTGCAGTCGGCTCATCCCTCCTCCCCATCTACACACCTCCCATCAAATCCCCTACCAGCAGAACATCTTCATCTCATTGCCAGATTCTTCTTCCCTGCACGCTATTTAGTCGTTTATTTCCACATGCAACAGGAAACAGAAATAAGGACACCATTGGAATATTTAGGTTTACAACAGTGAAATTGTCTATACAATAGACAACGAGTGGATTTGATTGCTCAAAGACAAATCAAGCAATTCATCAATAGTGAACATAATTACTCCAAATGACATACGCACTTGTGTTACAAGCCTCATGCATATATTATGAATTAGGAAAGTACAATGAAGGCTTCTTTGAATGTTCCATCATCTAATTACATCAATCAATTAAAAACGAGGAAGATATTATGCACGCTGAGAACAAACGGAAGTTTATAATGCAAAAATATGTGCGTGTTTGTGTCAGTTAATTTGCATGTTTTCTTTCTTCATAGCATTGCAGCATGCAGAACGACTGATGTTTCCACCTGCAGCAGGCGCTCTCCATACAAAATAACTGATTTGTTTAGCAAGCATTTGCTTACCTCTTGGACACCGACTGGGCCCCGTGAGCTGCTCCCCTCATCTGCACCAGGCCCGAGGCTGAGTGGATCCGAAAAGGCAAAAGAAGGCATTCTAGAGGAACTCCATCCTTCTTCTTCGGTCCCATTTTCTGGATTAGTCTGCTCCCCCTCTACCTCCACTACCTCTGCCTCTCTATGAGGACAAAAGGACAGCAAAATTCACCGGAAATAACCCCAAAAACATTCTCCAATGAACGACAAACCTCCCACTTCACACAAACTGCTGGGGTAAGAAAAAGAGGGATGGAAGCAGAGTGATAGCTGGCTTTATTTCTACAACCCAATGAAAGCAGCATGAAGAAGACTGAATATTAACTCATATAACTGTGTGTGTACTTTCACCGTGTGAACGGACCTGATGGCCCCGTGTTTCCGGTCAGCCAAGAAGACCCAGTGGTAGGACACGGGCAGCGGCGAGCAGTTGGTGATGGAGATCTCCCTGCGGGCCCCCGTAAGGTTGAGCACGCAGCCAAAGTCCACCGTGGTGTCAGAGAAGTGGAGGTTGGGGAAGTGGACCTCAGCGTACAGCTCCACCTTGTGTTGCTCTGGGTGTCCCTGGTAGTGTATCTCAAGGACCTAAAAAGATAGATATATATGTTGTGATGTCACGAGAGGCTGTGTCCCCATAAAATGCCTGTAACCAGAAACAGCTATGGCTCCATCTGCTGGTGGAGTTGAGAACTCCACCCCTCAATTCCCGACATTCCCGCCCACCTGAACCTGATCGGGGTCTGATGAGCCGAAGGGCTTTTAAGGGTTAGAGAGATAGTGAGGGAGGTGAGTGGGGTTTGAGGGACAAGCTGCAGGTTGGGGCGCTCCGAGAGGAAGGCTGGAGAGACCACCCTGGGAACTACTTACGGGACTTTGAAGGACGTACGGCTGGATTGGCCACTGATATCTGACCTTGGTGTCCTCGCACTCCTTGAACTGTCCCGCTGAGCTGGGGTAGCCTCTCATGGCGTCACAATGTTTAGATACTTTTATTTGATCACATTCAACATACATTGCATGATTATTGTATGAGCTTCTCCAGATCCTAGATGCACTATTCATGCAAACAACCCAAGGTGCTTCCACCGAGTGGTTGGAGGTCATATTTCACATATCATTACAGTAACCATAGTTTGATTGTTGAAAAGTCAACTTTTCAGGAGAACAATGAATACATCTTCATGATGTGTTTTTTAAGATGCGGAGTGTGTTTCCACAATCCATTAATAGTGAGAAGTTGCAGAATGAAAAGTACAATTCTTGGGGAAATAGAGTAGTAGTAGTATACATCAGCTTCCAAGGGAAATATTCTGGTAAAGAACCGCTAAATGTACTCACTCTGCAACACTGGGCCTGTGACCTCTTTACCAAAGCATTTATACCCATGATCAAAGCCTTTTTCCTCAGATTATTTGATTTGGAGGTAAAAATACCCAGTTTATTGAAGAGAAAAGACCCATTTAGAGAAACGGTGGTTCTGTATATTTCTTAAATATTGTTTTTAATCCATTGGGGGGCAAAAACTCCTTAAGCACAGCTCTCTGTACTGGGATAAGCTCTTCTATAAAGGTCACAATATGATCCGGTTGAAAAAAAAAAAAAAAGAGAATTTGTTACCTCTTCCACGACTCGTGACACCTGATCCTGACAGTAAGTTGGATCGAAGCGCACCCACAACTCAGCCTGCTGCCCGTCACCTATAACCACGAACTGGGAAAAGACGCAAACTAGTTAAGATGTACAACAGAAATGTATTAAAGGAAACACGCTGACCTTGCAATAGTTTGAAAAAAACGTTTCTCATCTTTAGAGAATCTACTCTTATGCTTCACGTAAAATCATAACAATTACAATTAAAAAAAAACGTTAAAGCAGTTTGATAACCCCTTTATTGTTATCCTTCAATTAACACATTTAAAGGGGTCATTTTGAAGGTGTGTTGCATGTGGCACTTCTTTTAATATATAAAACTAGCCTAAGGATCAAGTTAATTAAAGGTAAATAACTAATCCTAAGAATATCCTAGTTATTTTCACATAGAACACAGAAGTGCTTTTGCCGGGCCAAAAGTCTATGTGCCACTAAAATCAATGGGTTTCTGCTCTTGGAGCATGAAGTGAAAAGCCAAAAAGGAAGAGACGTGTACCTTAGTGGTAGCCGTGCTATGGGCTCCCGCGGCCTCACACAGATAGAAGGGCTCAACCAGGGAGAGCTCAACGGAAAGAGACAAAGACAACACATTCTCCAAGACGAGCTTCTCGTATAGCGGCCTTAGACTCTCTCCTGGGACCTGAGACATAGTTAAAATAGGGTACATTACAGTAATTGATATAGAAACAACAAATAACTAGTCACTAACATAATATAGTTTTGAACAGTATCCTGGAGTGATGATCTTTTGACCAACCTTCTCCAGGTGGAATTTCAGCTGCCTGGAGGAAATGCGTAGCATGGGAGCCACAAAGCGACAGGTGAGATCCACGCACATGATGAGCTCTTTACAGCCCTGTCGACCTACAATGCCGTGGCACAGCAGGCGCTCCTGAACAACCTGGGTGAAGAAAAGAACATAAGAACTGTACATATAAAATCAAAGTTTATGTTTATTCCCTATGGGCCTGCGAGCTAACGGTCTCACCTTGGGGGAGTCTGAAGATCCCGTTAGCACCATGTCGACCGACCTACCGGGAGGGAGCTCCACGTGGGAAGGCCTGAGGCTGAACACCGGCCTCTCTTCGCCGGAGGAGGGCAAAGACTCACCGATAAAGCCCTCCTTCTGGCTGGGAGCACGGAGGGAGGGCAGGACGGTCCGGCCACCTTTTGGAGTTTTTCCGGAGAACAGAAAGCCGTCAGTCCTCCAGTACAACCGGTGCGTTCGCTTACCCTGGTTTGTCAGCTTGAAGGGGTACTGGCATGATGCATGGCTTATGGGACACACAGAAGACAGCAAGGAAGTGAGGCATCCTGTCAGCACTACATTTTCAGGTGTAAATTCACCGTATTGTTATTGTTGAGCTCATTCTACCTTAAATATGTGCCTAGATCAAGGTTGGGAGCGAAAGGTCTGTCACTGACAATTGTGGTGCCTGTGCCGGTAGCGGACAGAAAGACAGTGTGCACGTGGCTGTTCTGAATAGATACTTCCATCTTGGCCTGGAAGTGAAGCGTGTCCTTCAGGTGAGCCACTACTCTCAGCTCCAGCTGGCTCTCGGGTGGCACTTCCCCCTCGCTGGGCTCGACCCGGCCAAACGTCCCGCCGTGGCTCCGAGGAACCTGAGACACAATCACAGTTTCTTTACGGCGTGAATGCGGTGAGATAAAGCCTCTGCTCTGACAGGATGCGAGGGATGAAAATATCTTCCCTCTTAACCATGCTGCACACGCCACTGAGGCCTATCTCACGACAGGAAAAGATAGATGCGTATAATCCACAGCTACATAATCGCATCAATATCTCTGTGTCTCTTTGATAATCATGAAACAGGGATTGCTCAATGCTACGTCCTCATTATATTTCCTGGCTCTGTGGGCAATTGTATTTAAGAGTAAAGTCCAACATAATAACAAAACAGATGTGAATCTAACGTTCACCTCTGCTCCTTTTACAAACCCTCCACTGTGCTCACTGTACTGCGTGAGTCCGTCACAGTCAATTTATACAGTGACTTTGTTTGAATGGCTGAAACAACTTTAATTGGGATGTCAAAAATGAGAACAAGGAATCTAGCCACTGAAGGCTTGACAGTTATGTATTAAATCCATTAAATCCAGAGCAAAACCCCTTAAAATACTGGAACATTCAACAGCTACATCTGAAGCCACGTAAAGTTACATTGATTGCATGTATTTCAATGTGTGTTGTAAGTGTTTTATAAGTGAATATATTTTTAATCACGGTTATATGCGTGCTCAGAGGCGTGTCTGTGCCGTGGTGTGTGTACCATGCGAGCAGTGAAGTGAGCTGAAATAGGAGACTGGTTTGACAGGTGCAGGGATCTGGTGATGTCCGTTAGAACCGGGATTGCGCCAAAGTCCAGCTGTTGGCTGTGAACATGAACTATTGGTCCCTGTCCAATACATGACAAGACCACCTCCTAGAGCAGAACGGAACCAAACACAGGCGGATTAGAGAACAGAATTAACCGAGCAGTTCAGGGAAAGACACTCACAATTCTACCCACGTAGTGCAGAAACAGTGATTCACACTCCAAAGCACACAAACTAACCAACGGACCTGGGGCTGGAAGCTGCCAAACACAGCGATGCGTAGAGTGTGCTGCTGCCTTCCAACGGCCTTGGCCAGCAGAAACACAGGAAGCTCCTCTGAACTGTGAGGGCGAATCATTCCGGTGGGAGTGGAACTGCCAAAGAGCAGTGATGGACTCTCCTCGTATTCCTGAAAAGGACAGAACGAAGCGTACTGACATCATCTATTGTAGATCTGAAGCAAAAAGAGAAAGAAAGTCTTGGAAGTCACATATTCGTCCTTCAGCACGTTGCAGTTCCGTGGAGTCATGATCAGATAATTTTGACTAAATATAATCTTAATTCCATTTAGTTATAAATCTTAATGTTCAGTGAAAATTACATGAAATTGTATTAATTAAAGCGATAGTAATAGGAAGGAATTGCGTCCACTTGCTTTCTTGAGAGTTGGAGGAGAAGATCGACACAACTCCGGTGTTAGTGTGTTAAACGTGATAATTTTTTTGGACAGTCTAATTTTTGTCTCGGACATCCATAGAAATCTCATTTTGAACTACAGCATCTGTAGCAAGAATAGCCAGTTGTGCTTTAGAACTGTGACAGTTTATCTTGCCGTAATTATTCCTTGTGTTCCTACTCCCATTAAGAAGAACCCTTCCCAATACACCGTCAATGTAAGCGATGAAAGTCCACAGCAGTCATTTCAAGCTACAATGCACTTTGACGTTCAGCAGAAGCTTAAAAACAGTTTTAGGATTTTGGCCTTGTCTAATCATGTGGACACTGTTGAAGGTTACTGTGTCTCATCCAACTTTCCAAAACAGTACAGTTAGCATAAGTCCTAAAATGTTTTGCTATTCCTTTAAGCTGTTGTTTTGTAGTTATGCCGCTCACCTCTAACACATTATTATAATGAGCTGGAAATGAGACATTGTCTTTAATATTCATGCATCCTCAGGACACTATTTGTTGCAATGATCTACTCAACCTGGTCAAGCACTCCATAGCAGGCAGGTAGAGGACCGGTGTTAGTCAGCTGCACCTTCTGTTCGTAGCGGTGATTGAGAAAACATCTCTGAAAGTTCAACACCGGGGTCTTCACCTCAATATTAGGAACAACACACCTATCAGAGATAGATAAACAGAGAGCGGGTAAGAGGAGGGACAATCTGTGTCTGATTCATAACCGACTGAACAGTATTTGGATTATTGGAAGAGATTGTTGGAAACGGGCCTGTACACAGCTCTCAGAGGAGGGCAATGTTGACCGATGTATCTATTAAGTCTCTCAAGGACATGTAATTGCATTACATCATACCAAAACGTCAGTCCATCAATTAGAACTGATTAATTCATTTACAATTACGATGAATAGTGTGAGGAAATCAGATTATCGTTTCTCTATTCTGAGCAACAGTGGAGGTTAACAATAGACCTCTTTTAAAAATCCTGAGAACTCGTTAATGAATTAAAATTGTATTATATTTTTAGTCATTTTGACAAGACAGTCACTTGATAACCATAACTTCAATTTATTATTGTGTTATCGGAAACGTATTCACACATTGATTTCTTTCCATGACCAAATGAATACATCTCATAATTTTCATTTTCTCTTATCTTAAACCACTCCAGAGTGTACATTTGCATTTCACATTAGATTCAACGTTTTGAATGGGTTACGATCAGAGCATTCGGACCGTCAGGCTACTTAATGTGGCTCAAAGGTTTACCCCAAATAAATGTGATATATGTCTGCGTGCACATCAAACAGCGTGCGTATGCTCATATGTGTAAATGTGTCTGACCTTGCTTTGATAGGCAGAGTCACAATCTCCTTTCCGACACCTTCAACATCCACCACCAGCGCCATCCTATACGTCTTGACTGTGTTGGAGCACAGCGTCACCTATACACGTAATACACACATATAGTATAAGACCAAACAAGGTTGAAAACATGCAGGGAAAAACGACTGTGTACACAATTTTAGTGAGTGGGTTTTAGTTAATTACTAGAGTTTGTAATAAAAGCAACTAGTATACTTGTTGAGTCCATGCAAAAGTTTTGTAAATGTTGAACTTTGTTCAGTCAACTATGGTGAAACTTACGGCAAACTGCTATAAATACAAATATTAGCAGAGGTTAAAATCAAAATCACTTAGCAGATCCTATCTACATTCTGAAGTCTGCTTCAACAATATATATTTTTGAAAGGCACGTGCACTGACATTTTGGGGGGCAGGTGCTCAAACCAAAACAAAAGGGCACCCATTGCCAAAGTGATTCATGAAATTAAAAATAATAATTACATTAAAATACAGTAGGATATTTTCAACTTACATATTTAATTTGTTAACAAAATAACTCAAATTTAATAGAATCTCATTCATTCACATCACTCACAGGGTCCACCTGAATTGTCCTTTTTAGTTAAAAGGTGTCCTAAAGCAGATGCGAAAGCTCGCATTGCCGGACACCGAGCATTTGCGGCGTTTCGGGTCTTTTTCCGGTGATCGCCACCAAGGTAAAAACTGAAATGACAGGGGGCTTGTGAGCGCCGCGGAGCATGCCGAGGTGATTCTCACAAGAACTCAAATAAATGCCGGTCAGATTTTAAAACACATTTGGGGGGAATTGATGACAGAGAGAGTCATTTTTATTCTATATTGATTAATATAGAAAAAGTTGGGCTCCATTAGAAGAGGCACTTTTCTCATCCAGGGCAAACGGGCTGGTGCTTGAGCACCACTAGGGGTCTATCTGTGCACGTGCCTGCTTTTCGACATATGTAAGTATTTGTACCTACTGGATTTTATCAATTTGGGGGATGCATTGGTTATCTCATTTGCTGCTAAACTTCATGATTTTAGGGTGAAAATATGGGCCTATTTTGCTATATGTATCGTCATACATCTTTTCAAATACCTTTAATTCATCTATGCTGTGAAGTTAAAAAATAACTTTAAATTTGGCCCCCCCCATTTGGTAATTTACTGTACCTTAATGGTGACATCTGACATGGCGTCAACGCAGCCTGCAGCAGGTGTGACGGTGAACTCCACAGGGCTGGCATGAAGGTCTCCGGCAGCACTGCCTCCCCAATCCTTCAAGGACACTTGTCTGGCACTAGTTATACTGGGAGACCCCGACCCGTCTCCCAGGACACGCAGGGCAAAGGTTATTGGCACGAAGGAGGTGTTGAAAAGCTTGCACATCAATGTCAGTGGGAAACCTGCCAATAGAGACAGACGACACAGATGGAAAGAAAGATTTTCTGGATTATAATATATGTATGTATATATATATATATATATATATATATAACAAAGAAAATATAATTTAATAACTTACCAAAGCCTACATCTTCAAAGTTGAGTTCTGTCAAATTGAAGTGGCATGTGGGAGCAATGACACAGCCACTGAAAAAAAGAAGACTAAAACATGAGCCATGACAAACCTTCGTAATGTGATAGTTAGACTACCAACATTTTTAAGTTTTTATATTTGCTTGGACACGTCGCAATGTTCCGTCCTCGCTGCACTCGCTAACTTCACCTGAAAGTCACTGTGAGTGGTTGCGGCCCTCCGGTTACAGTTAGCAGCAAGTCCTCGGTGAAAGTTCCCAAAGTGTGACCGCAGAAGATGACGTCCACCTTCTGGCAGGCCCCGGAGGGAATGACGCCTTCCTCGGGACAGAAGGAGAAACAGCGGCCAAATGTGGTGTCACGGCTCGACAGCCTGAAAGGAGCATCAATCAGTCCTCTGTTGCGAACCTGCAACTGGACAAAAAAGGAGAATCCACTGATTAGATTCTCAATGATGTTTTTTTTGTAGGAGCCCCACTGTTAATAAAGTAATAAACCTGCGCTGCATTTAGCAGGAAACATTTGGTGACTCTATTCCAGTACTAAATAAAGATTGTTCACGAGTTGTTTTTGTGTTAGAAGATGTAATATTTAACAAGTAACAAATATACATCTGTAACGTGGGGATCCTTTGGGGCTTTGGTAATCAACTTTATTTTGTATTTTTAGCACAGTGTCAATCCACCTCCAGCCTCCTCGCCTGGCTGAGTCTCTCTCGCTGTCGCTGGATCTCCACTACTGAAATACAGGCACAAACACATGTTGATTTCCTGATTATGCCTCCACCTGGCACCGTTCCCTGAGCCACTCCCCTCTCCGTCCCCTCTGCAGCTGAGCCAAACCACGCCCGCCTCCACAACATCCCAAAAGTATATGTATATGAACATAAACTGAACAACAAAGAGTGAAGTGCAAATGGTGCAAACTTTGGCATTAGCTTTCTTACTTCATAATAGTCTTTGTCTCCAATGACTACGTTCTGCATGTCCATCAGGTCGTAGTTGAACTGGACATTGGGTCCAATGCCCTCGGCCATTATTGTGAGAGGCAACCGAGCTTCACGGCCTGGGTGGAGACAGAGGAGAGATCAGGGAGAGTTTCACAACACAGTTAAAGACAGAGAAACCCCAAATATGTATATCGGGATTTTATTCAAGTCAGAGGGAATATTTTTTTTTATGTCATACTTTCACTGCAGCTCCTTTCTACTTTCTCTGTGAACTTATTAAAGGGCAATAAAGTTACATCCTGAGGAATCGGGGTACGGTGCCAATTTCCTCAAAACCTTTAACAACCACTGGGACTCAGTCTGGGCCTCCTGACTGAATAGTCTGATATAAATTGTGAATGCTCGGAAATTCAAAATGTTGTCAAAGTTAAATACATCTAAATACATTATTAAGGTGTATGGGACCTTACTGGATTACTGGATATTTTTCTATGACTAAGATTCGGATGGTTTGATTAAGTGTGACAAAGGGGCGTGAATTTCAATGACAGCCAATGCAAATCGAGATACTGACTACACTTCCATGTCTATACATTGGATACCAAAAATGGGATTCCATGTTCAGATCTGTTACCAATGTATTCAGTAGCCAGTCAGTTAAATTGGCTGACCTTTGCCCTTCCCCAGGAGACTTAACTCCTGTTTGAAGACTGGATTTTTAGTCATAAGCGTAATTTCCAGAAGTCAAAGGGATTTTAATAGAGGTTTTCTCATTGCTACTACTTAAATTAACAAGGCAAGACACAAGGGCAGTTGAATTTGCTGTGAACTTGCATAAAGCTTCATCCTGAGGGGAACATGAATGTCTGCACCAGACGTCATGTTAATCAATATAATAAATGTTGAGACTTTCCACAAAATAAAGCAAAAATGTTGGTGGCCCGCCCTGGAACCTGTTTTTTGTTATTGTATCGTAAAGATACGTGTAGTACTGAGCTCTGGAATGTGTAAGCTAAAGACGTGTTTTACAGCTTGGCACTGACCTGTAATATCACAATATATGGTTTGTTGGTACAGTTTGGCTTCCTCAGGCTTGAAGACAATGTCAAACTGGGCTGGAGTCCGGGGGCATATCTCCCCCTCCTGAAACGCAGGAAGACAAGAATAATAATGGGTGATAGTACTCATAGAGCAGGCCTGCATGCACACAATGTAAATTCGTATTCTGTCACATAGGGGAACAAATGGTTGATTGATTTCAGTGTGGAAAGCAGTGTGGAAGTTGACTGTTTATTCTATACACGTAAAATAAAAAGGTGGGTTTATGCATGTGCCGACTGCTCCATTTCTCTAAAATCCCGTTCCAAGGTTATTGTTGTGACTGGAATGTTTCCTTCCCCCGCACTCTCCTCCCTCCTGCCTCCAAAGGAACCTGGCTGACGAGTGGAGGAGACACTGACAAAAAAAGCCCAGCCCGCTGCTGGGGAGCCGGATTGGATTAATGTTTGGGCAGCAAATTTGAAACATAACTCTTTGCCAAATACCTAATCTCAAGCCCGAGCTCTTGGCAGAGCACAAATTGATTGAGTACAATTACACCCTTTGAATTGATATGAAGTATTAGATCACTCAGATATGTCAACTAATCTGAGTGATCTAACCAAGTAAAAAATGCATAGGTAGGGTGTGCACTAGTAGCTGATGAGAGATACTGGTAAAGAAGGATATGAAGAGATGGAGAAAACAAAGACACACACCGCTGGCTCCACGGTAATACAGCTGTGTGAGAGGACCAGCCGCTGGTCCCTGACTGTCTGGCTTCTGCGCTCCCGCAGGGCTCTGGACAGCAGCGGAAGGCGATGTATAACTGTGGGATCTGCCTCACACTGAGCGAGCAGCCGCTCCCTCTCAATCTCCTTCTCCTGTGGCAGCCCCGAGCTCTCCCTGGAGACACGCGGAAGGGAGCGAACGTGAAGGTGACAAAAAAACAAAGTCAAGCCAAGTCAGAGGCAGAAAGAAAGCAATGTGCTTTTCAGATATTTCTGTCAATACATGTTGTGATAGAGGAAAAAGAACGCGGAAAGTCAATCTACTCTCCAGATGTAGGAAAAGGGGGGAATATACAGCCCTCTTTACTACAAAACATTGTATGTAAACCCCCTTCCTTTGTTGTCTGTGTTGAAGCATTTGTGCGCACACGTACCTCAATAAGCTCAGGGCCTCCTCTTGCAGGCTGGGCCATGTGGTCCAGCAGTACTTCAGACGGACATCACTCCTGTAGGTGAGGGAGACTGTGCGATGGCTGGCCAAGGACATGTAGGTCTTTCTCAAAAGGACAGAGTCTGCCTCAAGGCGGATGTCCAGTTCTTCGCAAACAGCTTGCAAGCTTATGTGCACATCTTCACCTGGGCAGGAGACACGAAAGAGGGTTTTTATTCATTCTGATGGCCAACCAAGCATGACTTTTAACAATTGAGCATGTTCTGTATCTTGTTAAAACTACTTTTCTGATTAAGTGAGGTGAGTGAGGAGATCGCTTTCCTCAAATGGATCAGCCATTCAAATGGAGCTTGACCAAAATGTTAAGTGATAATGTGTCAAACCCATTGCCTGCCTGCAACTACCGTATCAGAGAGGAATATTTTTTTAATGTGCCTTTGGTCAACATGTCCACGTTTACAAGTATTTATGGTGGCGAGAAAGCTTGCAGATATTCATTATGAATGCGTTAGTGTGTCTGTTTACATGCTATTGGGTTAGTGACACACACACACACACACACACACACACACAGAGACAACAAATTACTCTTGCATCACAGATGTCAGAAACATGAAGGGAAATCCAAATACTTCAGGTGTGCCTTGCTCTTGTTCATGTCCTACTAACAATTATCCATCCATCCATCTGCAAACCACTTATCCTGCACACAGGGTCGTGGGGGGCAGGAGTCTATCCCAGCCAACTTCGGGCAAGAGACAGGATACACCCTGGACTGGTCACCAGCCAATCAAAGAGACATACAACTATTGACACTCACACACCTACAGGCAATTTAGAGTCTCTGATCCCCAGAGCATGTCATTGGACTGTGGGAGGAAGCCAGAGAACCCGGAGAGAACCCATGCAGACACGGGGAGAACATGCAGACTCACAGACAGTCACACAGAAAGGCCACTGGGCGGAGTCGAACCCAGGACCTTCTTGCTGTGAGGCAACAGTGATAACCACCACCCTACTAATGATTATTAAGGGTGAAAACAAACATATTCTAAATATAGTAAACTTCTTCACCCCATCAAACACACACCAAGAGAAGTCAAACAAAACTGAAGAATCAATCAAAGCAGTGACCCTTTCTGGAATATCTATCTTCATACACGCGCTGTTAATTATTTTGCTTTCACATGAATCAACAACAAATTGACTCCAGTGCTGGTTGGAAAGGAAATAAATAAAACTGACTGTGTAGCATGTAGACTAGTTGCAGGCGAGCGCTAATGTAAAATGCAGATTAAGATGTTGCTGTAGTCAGAGGCCAATTTGTTTAACACCATGGGTATATTCTACCAACACAACTTCTGGGTCTGAAAGAAGCTTTAGAGGAGACTTTGTGGCCAGCTTGAGTCAGGAGTAAAGCTGATTTGGTTGAACTTTGATTGAACCGTCCCTAGTGTGTCATGTTTGCTATTTTCGGCCAGTGATGTTTAGCAGGAAGTGCATAAGAAGCACGAGCCTATTTCCTCCCACACTACACAATAAAAATGGGTTTAGTTTGCCAAGTTACACCAAGCTGAGGTTTAGTAAAATGTTCGTTTAGCATTCCCTGAATTCAGGTAAACGGTCAGTTTGAGTGTTGAGGCGGCGCTCCTTTTATAGTTTCGAGTTTCACAGTGCAGGTTCACGTTGTGACCATGGAGAGATTTACTTCTATGGTTGTACTAAAAGGACATTTCTCTGAAAAATGTTTCTGTGGAAAAATAACCCAGCTGAAGAGAAACACACAGCAACAAGGTCAGTGTTATTACAATTAAAAAACAGCTTATGCTAAACGAAACAGCTATGAATATTTCGCTATAGCTCTGTAAAATCTGGATATGATGCACTGGCACTGGCTTTATGAGATGCTGTGGTCATAGCCTCTTTTAGTCATTTGAGTCACTGCTCTGCCGTGTATTTTTATGGAGGCCTGGATTTTTTCTCACCGGTGTGGTAGTGCAGGACCAGCGACTGGCTGTGGACTCCTACTGTAAGAGGGTGGAATTCCACAGTCACCTGCACGCTCCCGCCCACATCAACAGTCCCACTGGATGGCGTCACCGAGAACGGGCTGGAAAAAGATGCAATGGAATAGAATTTCATAAGGTTAAATTTAGAAACAAAAGTTCGGGCTTGGTGTCTTTTTTCAACAGCTGGGGTTCAATGTTGTTTTAGAAACTGGCAGACAAATGCCCAATGAAATTGTAATTAATAGTAATTACACTAACTGTTAATTAAGCGTATGCCTATCATCAAGTACAGCAACACACTTCTTGAACAGTTTTGAAATGTTTGAATTTCAAGTTGTGTTGTGATCCTTAGTATAAACATTACATGTGAATACATTCTGTAAATTAAATACAGGTGAAACACATGAGCCTACCCTGGACTGACTCTCACCTCTGCGTGTCCAGCTTGAACTTGGCCATGGCATTTCCTATGTTGCGGACATGCTGAGTCTTCTCCGTGGAGGATTTCAAAGGACAGACGGGGAAGTGGAGCTCGTCGCAGAAGTCGAGAATGGCACGTGGCCCAATGGCACGGACTGGGACCTCAAACCGCTCCCTCTCTGTCACAAACACCAGCCTATGGTGATAGTCCTAGAAAGATACAAATGAAAAATGGAATTTGAAATTGGTCAGGTGATGCTGAACAACCAGCACGTCCTCAGCATGCGAGCACTAACACACAAATAGCGACTGAACCGTTTTCTTTAGTATTCTCTCTTTAGCCCACACCTTTGGGGGTGATTGCATAAGGAGACTGGCAAAGTCAGTAGGGTTCATGTCTGGGGACCATGAATGGTTGTACCAAATTCGATGACCATCCAAAAGGTGGCCGGCAGTCTGTCCTCTTCCTGGTGTCACACCCACTAGCAAGGCTGAAACCAGTGGGGACACAGTGCCAGATGAGGTAATCATATTCTTGCTGTCCAACTTCTCTCTGCTGTTGCTGTCAGGTGTCATTTCAGCTCAAAACCGGATGCGACCCTCCTCCATCCCAGGCCATTCTCGGTTTGCAGCAACTTCCCTTCTTTACCACCACCAGTGTCTGGACTCCGGGGGGCGATTCGGAAGTAGCAGAACTTCACGACCCAGCGATTATTCAGATTGAGGATAGAGTCCAATCTCCAAGATGTTGGCACTATTTCAATGTTATACAGATAATAAATGTATTGTTGATTCAGAGTCTTTCCTGAATTGCAACAAAGTAAGTGTATCCGAATCTATAAACTTTTGGTTGTGACAGGAGTGCTCACTTTCTCTAATTTCATACCCATGTTTCATACTTTGCTCCCCTGCGTGTTTAGTTATGACTAGTCATCTAATCTAATCTAATCTAATCTAATCCAGATCAAAACAGCCTCAGATTACCCTGATACTCCATTGTGCTCTCTCAATGCAGCATTCCGTGCTGTGTAGTACCTTGTTCTCCTGTGGGGTGAAGAAGACAGTGAAGGTAGCAGACAGTCCAGGTGCAACCCTCCTCCCTGCATCCGGTGGTCCAACCACTTGGAAATACTCAGACTCCTGCAGCTCCGGGATGACGCGTCGTGAGACCTTGACCGAAACAAGTAAAAATCACACAGGCTTTACAAAATTGTACAAAAACACAGCAACAGACACAGAACCAGGAACACATACAAGTGATCATGTGTTCATTATTGCTAAATGGTGTCCTGTACAAATTCCAGTCATAATTCACCTTTTCACACACACACAAATGTACAGTAAATATTTTTCTTCTGCTATTGCCAAAGATGTGTGAGAGGACTGTTTATGTTGTTCCAATTTCCAGCTAATCTTCACTGATCATCAGCTCAGCAGCGGTGTTGTCAATTCAACACTCACACACCGTATCTATGTTGCGGAGAACCAGACGTAACTTGTAGGTCTGTGCAGGAGTGAAGTTCTGGAAGACCAGCTCAGACGGGTAGAGCCGGAAGAGCGGCTGATCTATATCCACTAAGGACAACTAAAGAAATTGAAAAATAAACACAACATAAACAGTAGTCATCTTTACTTAACTGTACTGTTTCCAAAAAGCCTCCAGTTAATAACAAATGAATTGGGGATTTTAGCATGATATTGTGTTCTACATTACAGGTCAATCAGCTGACGCTTTTATCCAAAGCAACATACATCGCATTTTTAACCCATAGCTTTACATTTTTGCCTGGGGAGCAACTGGGAGTCTTGCCCAGGGACACTTTGACATGGGGCAGCCAGGGCTCAAACCACCAACCTTGCGGTTGCTGGCGCACCCTCTCTACGACAACCCCCGTCTGGCTAATTTCGTTTACAACACTGATGTTTAGATATACCAAAATCGCTTCATATCTTAACAATTCGTGACAACAAGCACACATATTTTACGCTACAGGGATATAATTTACTTTTTGATGCGTAGTCTCGCTCATGTCAAGCAGTTCCACGATGTGAGGCTGCTGCATGTCATTGGTGTTAGCCAGGCGCTCCTCTGTAGACTGCAACATCTCCTGGGTGTAAGCAGATGGAGTCACCTGCGAACACACAGCAGCTCAGGCTATTATGTTACTGGACTAAAGGCCTGTTTTCTGTCTCTGCATTCAGCAGTGATGAGGCACCAAATAAAACATGACTGGAATGTATATAATGAAAGACACACAAGAGCTGCAAACTGTCCCCTTGAAGCTGCCAGCTATGACACATATGCGCATACTAAGCCTGTAGTATCCTCTCCACACAATCCTCTGGCACCTTCTAATCATTGCACCAGAATCAAAGAAACATCAAACTGTACTGACTGGACATCCGACGATTTCAAAGTTGGGTCAGAGTAAGCTCAGAACCCAAATGAATAATGTAGCAGAGACAATGGCTGCCAGTTAAATGTGTATTTATTACACATTGATATTCAGAGACAACAAAGTTGCTCCAGTTAACACTATTCTTTGAAACAATAAGTTGTGAAGTAATGTGGCTTCTTTTTAGATGCTTGGTGATTGGTGAGTGATGGTGAATCATTTTGTGTCCATAATGAGAAATGCATGCATGATGGCTGACAGAACTCGGATAACTACACTGAGGGATGTTATGGTTGCATATCTGATCTGCAAGGTTCATTTCAAGAATGCATTGGAGTCACATATTGATTTTTGTTTTCGTTATGAAGCTACGGTAGTTATAAGGCGTATCTGTCATTTGAAGCAGCTTCTTTAAAAGAATGGGACAGTTGGGCCCCAGTTCATTTATGACAAAACCCCAGTGTGATGGTCTGATTCATTTTAGCTAACAGCGTCTTATTCTGTGCAGGCAGATATGATAATGATATCCTTACCCACTTTGTGCTTGAGGGAAACGGATTGGCTGTCATTTTTCATCTGTTTTGAACACAGACACCTGCGAAAGAAGAGAGGAAAGGAGAGAAGGTGTTATTAAGCACTTGACGTGCCCATTCTATACCAATGATCAAAGACTGTGATGCTAACGTTACAGGCTAGTAGTAACGCTAGCTTAACGGTCAATTCTTCTTAGCAAATGTTTAACGTTACCCGTCAGGACCACCCTCGTTACGATAAATATTACTTTAGTTGGTCGAATAATCTGTTAAAACGAAAGAACCTTACGTGCATGGCATGACTGGTACAAAACACGTATTTGAGAACGGAAATACATCGCATCGCCTGCTGTTACTTAACGTTAATTTTTCATTGGCCGTCTCGTCGAGTCAACGGTTTAGTTTTGCCAAATTCTGTCATATAACGTCATTAACAACTTACCTGTTAAACCCGTTGTCTTGTTGAACTGAAAAAAGTTGTGAAACTGAATACGTAATAACGTTTCCCTAACTGGATTAGGCTACTAACGTTAGTTAGCGACTCATTTGGTGAATAATGTAACGTTCGATTGTTGCCCTGGCAACGCACTCTGTGTACTCTCAGTAAACTGTTTCCTGATTGGCTACGAGAAAACTAGCTGCATATATTCCCTCTTGTTATTGTTCTCCCGTTGTCACGCCAGGTAACCTGAATGGCTCTGATCCATGTTTTGCCTCATGGTGTCACTGGTAGTAATTCTGTTTATGAATCACAAATATTTCCTAGCTGGAGATGAATATGAATTAAAAAAGAGAATCATGAGGAAAATATTGGAAGATTATCCAACAAATTGCATTGGTAAAGCCTGAAGCCTAAAGTGTTTTAATAACAAAGCGCGAGGCATAGAGAGATCCTTGATCACAACTCTACAACCAGATTACAGAATGTTTCTGTGGCTAAGGTCGTACCTCTAGGCGAATGGAATCAGGCTTGTTGGATAACATGGCCGGTGCACGGTAAAATGAAAACCTTCATTAGGTTGCCAAATTTTGTATTTACGCACCTTCCTTTCCGTGCACTTTGATTTTCAACTGTCTGTTGGTATGAGTTGATTAAATGCATTAAATAATTCCCTAAAAAATCTACAATATGCTGAATTGACTTTTCTTGTCAGCAATGTTTAATTTTTTGCCATGGGTTGCAGGAATAATTAATAAAAGAATAATGGTATAACATGGTGAAATGTTTTTTTTTTTAAATATTCCCCTGGATATTACATCAAGCCACTTGGCCACTCTGACAGTCTGCTATGTGCTGTCTTGGGTCTAGATCTCCCGTTCCTCCTTTCCCTGCAAGGAGCCCTGCAACACAGCCCTTAGACTTAGACTGTTTCATAACTGGTTAAAAGTTCCTCACAGTAACTTTAATTAAAATTTCTTTACTTTATGTGGTGTTCATACTAAAAATAAAAACATGGGGATATGACTCAGACAGATGTCTGCTCTTAATATGTTAAGAGATGTAAATCACAACATTGTGTATAACACTGCATTAATCAAACCTCTTTGCTTGTAGAGGCTACAATACAGGAGCCTGTTACAGTGAGAGGGGGAGGAGGAGCCCTCCACACAGCAGGACAGGTTCTCGTATCTTGTGTTGTTAACCAGTTCCACCGGGGCAAAAGTCACTTCAGAAGGAACCTCTGTGCCCAAACAGATGCAGCCTTGGCAGCGCTGGACAACAGCTCCGAAAGCCAGGAGGTTCTGGTCCACCTGGACCTCCACTCCCTGACAGATAATCAGAACTAGCGGTTAACGTCAATTCATCCTTTAATGCAACAAACCTTAATATGTATTGTTGATGTGCTCCTAAACAAAAGCAGTCTGCACTTATTCTCTTAAATGGAGCTGGCGGGCGAACACAAATGAATGCCCTTCTACAGTGACGGGAGATCTACCCCAAACCTCACCTGGCAGCAGCCGTGAATGCTCAGCAGAGGGTGCAGTCGGCCCGCCAACTCCGCCTGCAGCTCCGCTGTGAAGGGGGGTATGTGCTGACGAGGTGAGAACTGGATCCCAACATTACGCGAGCCACCGCCGGCTTTTAGGTGCAGCTCACCTGACGGGCTGAATGACAGCTCCTGTGTGAGGAGGCGGCAGAGAACAATATTGGGTTTTGCTTGAGTGGAGAGCTTGTTATCAGTGTGTGTGTGTGTGTGTGTGTGTGTCTGGTGCCTACTCTTGAATCCTGTGGTGTGTTGGTGTTCAGCAGGATGAAGAAGAGGTCTAAGGGGCCACGATTGACCAGAACCACTTGTTTTTTCACCCTCTGACCCGCCTTCAGAGATCATAGCTTCACTTTTCGCTGCTTGGGGTTCTCCAGCTCCAGCTAGGATGGAATGAAACGTTCAGGAAAAATAGTGAGGTAGAATTTAATAAATGAAAGAGTTGATTTGAACCCTTCAGAAGCCTGGGACACTTTACTGCTCAGAGGAGTATACAACATCATGTTGCCGCTGATTAGCAAAAGTGACAAAGCTTCGCTGCAACGCAGTCGCTTCACTTTTACATTCCTGCATTCTTCCTTCTCACCTTCACCTCGACACCTTGTCCCAGTGTGTCGTGACGCAGCTGTTTAAGACAAAGGGGATTCTGTCACGGTAGCGGCACGGCTCCCGAGGATAGAAGTGGATTGGTGCTTCGATCACAGCACCAGGGGACACGGTGTCCGGTTGGAAGTCCATCTCTTAGTCAGAGGTGTTTCTGAACTGGCACTCCACCCTGAGGAGACGGAATCAGTGTACGATCCATCAGAGTAGGCCAGGAACATTTATTTGTGCAGTTGACACTTTCACATGAAGAGAAACAGACACACACACAACCACCTGATGTCCCTCTCGCCTTTGTTGCTGATCACCAGAGTCCGGGAGGCCGGCACCATGCCACCATGCCATCTAAGGTTAGAGAACATTTTTTTCTGATCAGTGCAGAATGGGGCCCAAGCCCGCCTCATACCTTACAAGAAGAACATGTAGCAGAGCAGCTCACCCTGAACCTCAGTCGCACATCCTGCAGGTCGAAAGCGTGGACAAAAGAAGAGTGAAGATCGGAGCTGATTCCCAACCTCAAGAATAGTGTTGTTTTGTGGTTTTATTTGGAATTGTTGCAGCAGCTTTGTGGGACCTTTTAGTTCAAAGTTCACTTTCAAAAAGGCAGATTGCTCTAAAATCCCCACCTACAAATAGCCGACATATACAGGGAAGTTACTGTCACGTTTCAGCTTCACACATTCAATTCAGTTTATTTTGTATAGAACAAAATCACAAATCAAATGTTTTGCCTCAGAGGGCTTTACAGTCTGTACACATGCGACATCCTCTGTCCCGGAAACGCTCTCATCAGAAACCTTCAACGGGGAGAAAGAAGGCGGGATCCTTCTACCAGGATGGCCACGGGTTAATAGACATGTACAGAAGGAACCCCGTAAAAGATTTACAATGAGTGAGCTGACCTCCCCAAAGTCCAGAGTGTCTTTGAGGGTGGGGCTGATGTAGTCTGAGTCATCCATTTGAAAGTGAAGTGCGGCAACAGGCTGCGGCCGCACACCGAGACACAGGGAGCCTCATCTCCATCCCGCAAGTTGAGGATTCTGAAAGAAAAGGTAGAAAAAAGTCCTTCTAAAATCACCGAGGCTCATGTCATTCATCATGACACAGAGCGCAGGCTTCGAGGTGAGGCCACCTTAATGGGAAAGTAAATTCTCCTCTTTGAACTTCCGTTTGACTGAGGTTAAGAATATTTTTGTTATGTAATTCACTGTTTTATAACTTGTCCTTGACAGAGATGACGTCACGCTGGCTGGGGGGGCTTCAGCAAACACGCCTCCTGTCCTGCTGCCTGGTCGCAAGGGCGGCGTCCCATCTGTCAGGGCAAACGCGTGTTTTCATTTACATCGAGTGATTACAGTTGATGCTGATAATCGAGGACATCATGATATATATTTAGATTACTGTACAGTAATACCTCCTTGGTCACGGTTTACAACGTTGTTCCTTGGAGCCATGAGGACTTTCCAGGAGTATTTACGATCTGCAGTCTGCACACACACACACACACACACACACACACACACAGAAACATAAAAAGAACATCACTAGCTGCAAGTATTTAATAACTTTTTTGAGTGACAAATAACTGTAAACGGATTGAGGATAAAAGCATCGCGGGGGGAGAAATGGATAGGCCTGCGTTAAAACGAGGGCCGAGAGTTCAACACCACCGTTGCCGTTTTTCAGTGCGTTTATCGTCATCCAACTGCACGTTCCGATGGTCGACCAACGGCTGGAAGGTGGAATATCTCCTCACTGTCATGACGACGCTCTCTAAATAAGGGCGAGAAAAGAGGTAAATAACGACAAAAGAGTAGAGTAGAGTGACGTTTGAATTAATATGATGAAACTATCAGACTATTAAATGCAGAACCTACTAGCCAAGGACGTTTAGGCTATATGCAGTGATATATCCAGTGCAGTGCCAGTGATAGTTGGCCTACCTCTGCATTCTGGTGTCATGACAGGAACTGTTGCATTCTTTCTGAGATTGGCTCCAGCAGTCCTCCTCAGGCTCATGTTCTCCAGCTCCAGCTTTTGGATTTCTGCCCTCATCGCACTGATCACACGTAGAAGCCTCTGCGTACCGTCCATGGTGCCGACAGCAGACGTTTCCACCCTGCCGGCATCACTCTTGGATGCCTGCCACTGACCAAACGACCCCATCTCACCAACAAACACACGGTTCACACCTGAAAATCAACGTAGGTGTCGAAGCTACATCACGGTCTACAAGTGGCCTACGTCCTTTTTGATATGAAAGCGCAAAGAAAGAGACAAGCAGCAAGTCAAAGGCAGCAATCTAGTTTGTCATCAGACCATTGAAAGTCTGGTCACATGATGGAGAGGGTTATTTTCTTCTCAGTGATCTGATGCCCACAACTTTCCCTCCTCCGGTTAAATATTCATTTACTCCGTCAACGTGAAGGCACTTGGGGGAGAGGCAAAGCCTTTGTCGAGGGTGAACTAAACTCTGTTTGTTTAGTGTGTGAGGTACAGTACCAGTCCTCATTCTAGGGCTCACGCAAATGGCCTCACTGCATATACACAAATGTAAAAAGGGAAATGAATAACCAAATAACTTCTGTAATGTGTGTGTGTTTTTATACGTGTACAGTTAAAATTATTCAATGTAGTAGTGGGCTTTTTGTAAGAACGCCGTTGCATCATATGTGCAGTATTTAGATGAGAGGACCAGAGTCACGAGTGTCTTCTTGGTGCTGCTCTGCTGCTCTGTAGTGTAGAACAGTCGGAGCATCGCGCTCAAAGATTAACCTCGTTGTAGTAGAAAAGCAATGTTTTGCTGACCTCTTCTGGTTAACGTTTAAATGGAAATAGTCTGTTGGACCTTTTTTGGCTACAACTAACATTGCCTCTACAACAACCCGAACCGAAGGCGCTCAGACACACACATTCCATATAGGTTCACTTTAGCCTCCTGTGTATCGTACACACAATAACCTTTTAGAACAAGAATATTGAATTCACCGAGGGTATGAATAAATTAAGTCACTGATAAGATCTAATTATGTCAGATATTTTGGCTGGTCAAATGGATAGTATTACACACTTGTTCTACTTTAATAGTCAGAATTCCACAAGGAGGCTTTGTAGTTATATTACGTTTAAACTTCAAGTCAATGCACCTTCTAATGAAGTTAATTGTGTCGCCGGTGGGTGTTTTCTGGTCATCAGTACCAGCGTATTTACCCCCGCTTCAGTGAGTTTATCTTGTGTTTATTGCTGCTCATACAAGCACCGAAAGGCCTTCTACAGCTGCTGTGGGGCGGTGGATGTCTGCTATGGCCGATGATACCTCATTTCAGGTAAAGTCCTCTTTTATACTGAGGATTCTTTCATGTGAACTATACAACAAAGATGCATCTTCTGGGAGAAGAATGTTTGGTTGCTGGTGGGCCTTTTTTTTTTTAAAAGGTTCCACTTCGAACCCCTTCAGAGTGTTCTGCCTAAAGGATTATGCATGGACACATCTGTGAAAGGTCCCACCCGGAGACCATTTCATACTGTTGTGTTTCACCCGGAACCCTCTCTGGAAGTTTCCGTTTCTTCGTTTTATTCTCTGAGAGGTTTTCTAAATTTCATGTTCTAGTTCAGCAACTGTAGCCTCCTCATGATGTAGCTGACCACGCTTTATCATTTTGTCGCTTTCGTGGCTCACAGTGTGAACTTAAGAGTGCAGATACCACCCCTGTGTGTTCAGAGGTCGTGTTCGTGTTATTGTGCCGGTGAGCAAGCTTTATATAATAGCGTAATTACCCATAACTTCATCCCACAAAGATAACAAATCGACATACAGTATGTGTAATATTCACTGCGAACAGACCTCTTGGCCAAGTGTTTGAGCCACGGCGTATCGCATAATGTCAAGTTGTCTTCCATACTCTACGTTCCTCCCACTCTCCTGTGGTGTGTAAGCTGTTTGTCTGCTGATAAAAGGCCTCTCGTCAACTAAGAGATAAACTCTGCATGCTGCTGTAGAGACAGCTACCACAACATGCTGAGTGAAACACATGTATGTAAAGTCATGTTAAATTAACTGGGATATTATTGCAGTTTGACACACGCACACAAAGTCATCTATTGCATCTGCCAAAACAACAGCATAGCTTAACGTTTTCTTTTGTTTCCACTTATCATACCGCAGATGCCCAGCAGGTGTCGTGTGCTGTTGTGAGTGTGAGTTTCACAAATTTGGCCTAGCGGAGCATCACTGCATGCAAGCACATGACAGCGCCCAGCTGCAGGGGAGACCCAAAGGACAACAGTATAAAGTGGTGCATTTGAAAGCAGAGGTAATTGATTTTTTTTCTCTTTTTTTTTTTGCAAGTGATTACAGAAGCAGAATTTAATACGCTGCTTTTGATTTCAGCTCTTTTCACTGCAGCGTCTCGCTTTGCAAACATGACACCAGAGGCTCGGGACAGATGCTGCTCCCTCCAGAACTCCGCGCTCATCATTTTAGCCAAGTAGCTGTGACCTGGCGCCGACGCCACAAAACAGGACAAGTAATTTAATTTGCCACTGCTGCTGACCTTGAAGCATTGAATGTAGGCCGACAGAATCCCAATAGGAAATCTGGAAGAAAAACATCCTGGGAGCTGAAATAGCGATCAGGCTGTTCCGCCTGCAGCATCACACACAGTCTCGTCACCTCTACAGGGAAACTTTTGTCCTTCAGCTTTGCATGAAGAATGTTAATTTACAGGTATTAAGCCACTGTGACAGATCCTGTGATAATGTTTCCAATTGATTTTAGCTTAACCATTCAAAATGAATATCTGAAGAGCATGTAATGTTATAACCATATAATAATAACATCACGATGATAGAAATTGAAAGTCAAGGCTAACATTTTAATGGACAATACTCAGACAATTTTAGTATGCAGCGCTATTCTCTCCCAACCAATGTAACCACCCTCAAAGTAAGAAAAGAGCTGTATTGCTGTCAGAAGATGAACTGAGTCGTGGCATCATGTGATTTGAATGGCCTTAACAGTCTTAAAAGGCCAATATGACCTAATCATCTCGAGATGTACCACTACGTAAGCTTTAAACGTCACACACAAGGATGCCATCATGACTCACTGGGTATGTTGCACTGAAGTCTGGAAAGTATCACCTCCCCGTATGAGAGGTGCTAGATGAAACAAATAGCCTCGGAGGGACAGGAGAAAAGTAGATCCCATCGGCGTTTATGATGTGGTACATGCAATACATTGTAGTGCTCCTCTCATGTCATGTTCACAAACCTCAGGAGACATGTGAAAATACCTATTTTGACGCACTGGCAAGTCAGTGTATTTTCCAAAAAGCCTTGCTGCGAGTAAGGAAAGCGAGACATCGGGCGATATTTCAGAAATTGCTTTCTCATTTTGTGTTCCTGCTGCTATTTTGTGAAATATCCCCACATTGACAGTGGTGTTGTGACATGAGCGGGTTTGGTAAACACTCCCAGGTAAAATAAGTGGGCTGTTACTTTTTAACATGTCTTGTATGCAGACAAATTCCCAATCGCGTCTCTCATCAGCCAGAAGGGTCCTAATGTCCCCCTCCAGCTGCGTGCCATGTGATCCGAACGCAATCGCGGCTGTAACTTGTTGCCCTGTTGAGGTGACATTTTAAATCACCACAGCAAAAATATCTTTGGTCAGAATTCAATCTTGGCCATAAAATCTAAAAATATGGCCCCGGAGGACTAAGTTGTTTCACAGAGCGCCGCGGTAGCTGTCAGGCAGAAACACACACGGGGTAATAAGGCTGGAAAGCGGGGCCCTCGGAGAGCTTCTGCTATTTCGATTATTCCTGTAATGTTTGTAAAATGCTGCAATAACTTAGAAGAATGCGTTGGACAGGACTTTTGAATCTCTGCTACGCGTCCTTGTCCTCCAGCATGCCGACGTTTCAAACTGAGACCTGTAGGTCTTCCAGCCGCTCAGCACCGTCTTTAATGACAGAGCTCATGCTCACAGTCCCATCCAGCAGCCTTCATTATGACTCAGTAATCATAGGCTGCGTTTTGGTTTTCTTCCCCCCCCCTCTATGCTCTCCGTCTCTCTCACTCTTTTCTTCTTGTAGGCCTCCGTCTCTCTCGCCTCCAGTCACGGCCAATCCAGTAGTGAGCAAGAGCCGGCCTCTGGAGAAAGGGTTTGTTGACTTTTCGGCACAGACTGGTGCTCCGTAGGGGAGCAGTCTGTTATTTATGGCTTAGGCTTCTGTGATTGGTTGAGAAGAGATATAATTATGTCTAGCACTCAGCTCAGCTAGTTTCGGAATCACAATAGGTGCCATGTTGAGTTCGCCGGTTGCTATGATACTAAGTGGAGGTTCTTGTACTGTTTGGCGGTTTAACCCTTTTCCCTTTTTAGCCCCAGCGGGCTAAGGTTCGGCATCAAACCGTAGCCCGATGAGGTCACATGTATTAGTTAATTACTGATTCATATGAGATGCGATACCATCTGTGTGTTGTCAAGTAACAACTTAGCAACATGGACGACTGGGAATCTTCTTCAACCGTCCCTCACCGTCCCGCGCTTTAGGAGGAGATTTCTTAAAGACCAGTTTTTAGACAGGAGGTGTATTTACCGTAAGCAGACACTGATCCTTAAATCTCTCCGTGTTGCATAAAAGTTGTACTTTTAGCCCAAAGGGTGCCTCGCACACCAGAGTTACAGGTGAATTAAATGGCCGTTCTACGGCTGTGTTTTAATCTTTACAATCTCTAAATGTACGTATAAATATCTTCTATACATATATATATATATATATGTATATATTCAATCAATACCATGCATTTGATATTTGACTATTCCAGTATTACATTGAAATGATATTGCCAGCTGTGTTGTTTCTCATATACAGGGGATGAGATACATCAAAAACTGAGTTGATAAAGTTCATAAAATAAAACATACGAAGCAGAATAATACGTATGTTTTAATCTTACTTGAATAAGCATAAAGACATGGTATTTTCCTCAGCAGAGGGATGACTAATACGAGACTTAACATGGTTTGAAACGACACACTCAGTTTCCTTAGTTGTTTATTTTTCATTTACTTCTGTACCGCTGGCTGTCAAGTGTGCTGGCAGCACAAGAACATCTCCAATACCAACAGAAAACTGTAATTGAACCTTTGCTGGTGTCACTTAATAGCCTCTAATTATAATTTCATTGCATGTTCAGGTGATGATCCCGACTGAGCTTTTCATTTAACAAGGAGCTGCAAGGATTTCCAGAGAACTGCACTGTGGAGGTGAGAAGGCCGGAGTTCCTGTGAAAGCTTTAAAAGCTTTAAAATGCAAATCCTGCAAGAGAAGTGTAATTTAATTAATATTTGTCCATGACAGGAATGAATAAGTCTCTTTATATAACAGTTACTAATGTTTTTTGCCATAGTAGCCTTTTTCTCCTCATTATGCAGGTGGACAGACAGACCTTGAGTAGACTAATGGGATAGCGACAGTCTGAATATATATTTTTTTCCAGGGTTATTCCACACACACGCAGTAAAAAGGCAGCCATGTATCTGTGTGCTCCCACAGCAGGTGGGAGGCGAAGATGAGACTTAGTTTCTCCAGCATAGATAATCCAATTGTTTATTCTGTACCATGGTTTATGCGATCGCTGTATCACAAGCACAAGACAAAAGGGTGGGAAGGGAGTTCACACTCGACAACTAATCCTCATCTAATCCATTTATCTAAAATACATAGGGGGCCGATTTAATAACTAGCAAACTGTCCCTCATTTACCGCAGCGTGCCGCTGCCTCAACAAGCCTCTTACACAATAACATGTTTTTACTTTATTTGGAATGCGTTCTTTTTTAAAGAAAATATTAGACGCGGTAAATGATACACTTATAGGTGTCTTTGTACCAAAACAATTGCTAGAAAATCAATTTATCCCTTAAACTTACTAAACTATAATACTGCTGTGCCTTGTATTAGTGGAGATGACGGTGGTCTCTCTCTCTGCCAGATCAGGATAAGAGAAAATAGCGTTCCTAGCTGGCAGCATCGAGTTTCAGTGGAGCCCCAGGTCATTAAAGATAACTTGGCACCATGTCAGGGCCTGGCTGAGTGGATTGTGTAAACCAGTCACCCACCAAGGTTAGACACGCTCCTTATTACACTGTTGTGGTGGACAATGTGCCTCAGTCCTCTGGAAGAAGTTTGACATCTACCCACTGAAAGTGTCCCAGCTGACTGAATAAATGAGCTCACAATGTGAGTTATAGGAATCACAATAAAACATCGACATGTAAATGTGCATGTTTTGACTTTTAGACATATGTAATATTTCAAACAGAGCGTCCACATAACAAATGTTTGACTGTCACCTCACTTGTCTCTCTCTGTCTCTCTCTCTCCAGGTCCTTAGTGTAGTCAGGAATGCTGCAATGCCACTTGCAGACTGCAGAGTCCAGGGAGCCCTAAAAAGGAAGGAGTCTCTCTCTGATTCCCGGCAGCTTGGCGAGCAGCGGAGGCTAAATTAGGCCTGGTTTCATTGACTTTCAATCCCCAGGGTGGCTGCCGCCCTGCAGCCCAGAGGATGAGAGATGGGGGGCCTCGGATGCTTCGTCGGAGCTTCTCCAGACACTGACTGGGAAGGTTGGAGTGTCAGATGGAGGGACGATACGGCTCGGATTGAGATCGGTTGCATCTTCTGTTAACATTCTAAGTTAACGGAAAAGAAACACGGATAACATGGAAGGTTCTGTGATGTTTTTCATTTTGAAACCAAAAATCATAAACTTGAGTTATAACATATTGTGTTGCTTGTGTACAATAAGTACAATAAGTATATGTGTTTTGGGATAAAATCTGCTATGTTACTGCTCCTCCGTGCACATCCACAGAGACAGGTGAAGAAAACAGTCAGCTTTGAGGAGCTCGAAAAGGTTAGTTGTCCTCGAGTAGAAGCCTGTATTTGAGTGTGTATTTTATTTTATTCCTCGTACACTGTTGTCTTGTCGTCCATTGTCGTACTGTCTGCTGTTATGCACCAACCGCCAAGTCAAATTCCTTGTATGTCTGACATATTATGGCAATAAATGTTTCCTGATTCCTGAAAGACACCACACGTGTCCATGTCAGCTTGTGTCTGTAAGGGTTGCAGGGGGAGAGAATGATTCTTTTGAATCATCTTATGATATATATATATATATATATATATATCCAACCCCCTGGGATTGGAACCTCTGCTTGAGGTTATAATACATTTCATAGTGACTAAATAGTGCACATTCTAAAGGACATTTTCATATTATATATCAAATTATCTAATGCATATTTCAAAGATGACTTCATCTTGGTTGGCCCAGAAACACCCTCATACTCAAAAAAATGATTCAAGGCCTTCTTAGCTTTATTTGAATACATCTATTAAATGATGAACATATACATACATATAATCAATAGCAGCAACATGAAATGGTTTAATAGTTTCACTTATGAGATTGATTTAGGTTAAAACGTGTATGTGTGAACTTAAATAAATTCATTAATGAGGACTACCCTTTGCGCATGTGCCACATTTTTCGCGTTTAGCGCCGTTCTGCCTTTTTCGCAGACTGAAATTGGCTGCAACATCATTTTTTTCTGGCTTGGGTGGAAATCCGTTATTTGGTAAGTAACGTTAACTGTTTTTTGTTACGTTGTTAAATACCGCTTGCACACACGTTGTGAAACGTTCTTAATTTAAGTTAAACCAGGGAAATTCTGCTCCATTTTACTAAAGTCCAATTTGGCAGCATTCAAGCTAGTTAGCTGAGCGTGTTTAGCATCATGACCAGAGGTCAGAAAGTCAGTCTGTCATCTTCAAAGCCACGAGGGGAGTCAGTCCCTGCCAGCGTCGCTCCCTGTCAGTTAACACGGCTTCAGAGCAGGACCAACATGGGCTGCTTTAGCTAACGTTAACTTGTGTTATCTAACGCTAGCTAACGATAACTTGTGTTAGCTGACGCTAGCTAACGTTGACTAGCGTTAGCTAAAGCAGCAGTAGGAGCTAGCACAAGTCGTGGCACTGGCAACCCGCTGAGGCACTTCCTGTTGCAGGTTGCGGTGACGTCACGATTTCACAAGGCATTCGCCTCGACTTCATGACAGCTGCCTTGACTTTGCAAAATGAATATCAATTGTGTAGGTTATAACGTATAAATCACATTCAAATACTTAACAATCGAACAATGAAGAGTCAAAGAAACAAAATATTAGATTTGGTTGGAGCTTTATGAAAAAAAATGTTAAATTAGACAAATACAATAAAAAAAAACTAAAAAAAGAAAAATATATATAGGCTACATACATATAAATATAAATCTATAATATAAATTATCCTGTATTACTGTCTCTCAACGTTACAATGCATCAATATTTACAAGTTGCATTCCTTCGGGGCGCCGCCTGAAAGTGGTTATCGTAACCAAGGTAACAAGTGGTCTTAGCTCATATTATATTAGCTTAGCCGGGAAGCTATTGCATCACTTACCTGCGTTTTATGACTAAACCAATTAAAACTAACACTAACACTCGTACTGAGGACCGAGTACAGTATAGTACAGGCTAGTTGATATTAACTTACATTGTTATTAATGGAAATACACAATGCACTTGATAATTTTTGGACTTTTGTTAATTAATTTCCTGATCAGATGGTTTATTTTGTATTTTGTATTGTATTGGCTGGTCAGTTCTGACTTCTCTGAGCATTTGCAATAAAAACGCTTGAACTACATTATGTTTCATGTGTCTTAATAGGGGATCAAATAAAAAATGTTAAGTAAAATAATTGTTTTAGAAGGATTTTATTAAAATTGCATGGATGTTCTTAGATTGAGGCTACACATATTTATTAGATGGAAATCCTGCACACAAATAAATTGAGTTCATCCAATGACTTACTTTTTGAGTTTAGATTGAGTTTAATGAACAACATTTTGTTATATTTGATTAATGGTATCTAGTCATTTGAGATGAATTTCATCAAAATGAGTTGGACTAAATCAATTTAATTCTATTTCATGAATGTTTTTGAGTCAGGTCTACGGATGGAATTCCAGCTCACAAATAAATTGAGTTCTTCAAATGACTTTTTTTTTTGAGTAAACCTCCGAGTATGCAGTGTCATGCTTGCGACATGAAGCAACGTGCAGAATCTTTGAAATATGTGGTCTTGTATTTGAAAAACGCAATAACTTTGGCAGGAGACAGAGGCTGCAACTGGTCTTGACCTATTGGTTTCAGGATAACATGCGGAGGTTTCATATTCAATACAATGATAATGAATTTCTGCCAACAAATGAAGTGCTTTAGCCATCACGTGATGTGTTTTGCACATTACATGTTTTTTTTCTGCTGATGAAATGCTTGTCCGCCTCCCACTCTCCAGCGCTCTTTCCTCTCTCCTCTGCTGTCCGGTGTGATTGACCACGTCTCTTTCCCTGTGCTGGCAGTCGGAGACATGTGCTGAGTGCTGCTGAGTGTGGCTGTACGTGTGGGCTTCAGGGGCCTGGTTCGACATTCCAGTGATAGTTTGATAGACACAGTCCTTGGGGGAGGAAGAGGAGGAGGCCCGAATGCCCGCATCGACTTCACAGAAGACGTGCCGAGGGGGTAAGTGAAATCCACGGGAGGACTGTGGTAACGTACTGCGTGTCTCGTTTCTGTTTGAAGTACCTCCAGAGCAGCATTTGCAGAAGCCTCCACTTCCTGATTAAAAAAAAAAAGCGGTTTAGCTGCTTATCTTTCAGGCTGAAGACCTAATGTCAAAGGGTCTCCTTTTATTTCACATTCCACGTGTGGGGCCAGTGCGACCAACGCTGGTGTTTTCTATTACATTTTCCCCATAAAGACCCCATATTTCTAACATCGGGGGGGGGGGGGGGGGGGGTTCTAAAAAAAAAAGGGGATGCGGAGGGAGGCGGGGACAAGAAGGTGACCGTATATGGCATCGGTAGATAATGCAAGCAGAAGATGCAAATGAGATAAGAGCGGTTGCCATGGAGACTTGATGTTGCGCAGTGATGGTTCGTTGCAAACCTGACCACATTTGTGGTTTGACCGTTGCCAAGCAGAAGGTGCTATTATGAGAGGGGGAGAGTGACGAGTGAAAGAAGTAGAGGAACCGAGAAGATCCCATAGTGCATTGCGTTAGTGTGACCTGTATTGAAGTGACTTTGTCTGTCCCAGTGACGCGTCAGCAAGTGACAGATACACAGGTAAGCTCACTGCTTCGTTTCTGTTGACAGCCTTGAATTACTTTTGGTTTCATGCGTGTTTGTAGATTTGTTGTATAAAATATTCAAATTGTGTGATTGCCGATGAGTACCTTTTTTAAAAAGAAAACCTACATTTTCTCCGACATTCCGCATAGACGTTTTAGAAAAGCAACATTTACAGTTTTTTCTGAAAGGAGTACATTTTTGGAAAAAGTTTGCGAGGAGAGGTTATATTGTTATTTTCCATTTTCCATTTAGAAAGAAACAAATATCTCGAAGCTGTGAATGAGTGAAAGAGCTCTGGTCAAAGGGTGTTTCCATTCGTTTTCATTTTATCTCCGAGATAAGCTTCAAGCTTGAATGCTGCATGCACTCACATTGGTGTCATATGGGGACAAGACTGTGCCATTTCCTCTCCCTTTCTTTCAAACCTGACGGCTTGAATTGCACCTGCTTCCCCTCACTCCGTCAAAAGTGGAGGGAAGTTAAGAGTAAACCACAAGTAAGCAGCAGTTTGCTCGTATGTGTGCGACAGCGCTAGATACTCTCGGAGTATTCTAAAGCAACTCATGGGCAGAAGTTGTTTTAAGTGTAGCAATCACCACAAAGTGAATTACCTTTTGCGCGAAATGGTGGACGTGTGTAAATGCAGCTCCTCGCAGTGGGCCTTTCCTCCGGACTGTGTACTGTTGCGGTTGTTGCTGTGATGGTCTGTAATGGGAGTGTAATGTGTATTTGCGGCCTCAGTGATAGATGAGCCGTCACAGCTTGGCACACAAAAGCTCTGGGACATTTCCTCGGTGCAGTGAGAGTTTGCGTCAGGCAGCCAGTCACATTTGCGGAGTCCTGGGAAATAGCAAAGCACTGAGATGATAGGGAAGCTTAAAGGTGGAAAGTTGCATTCATCAAGGGGGGGGGTTAAGGGTTGACGGAGGTGAGGATTTAGGATTGGTTGGCTTGCAGAGGGGTCATCCTTGCCAGACTGTTGGTTTAGGTTCCATGTGATCTGTGCAGAGCAGTGTGTGAGAGGGTTTCTTGAATTTTCTGAGCTTCCTTGTAAAATTCGAATCTATTCTTTAGCAATACAGCAGCGTACTTACATTTGTAGGACTTAGAAAGGCCGAAGAAAGATAAGAATAAGAATCATCATTACCGATGCAACATCTATTTGCTAAAATATCAAGATTATTTCTCAGACTTCCTTCCAATGACTAGTCCACTGATCTCGATCTGTGAATTCCCCTTCATCTACACCACGTACACACACGCACCCCTTCCTGTTTTCAGTTGGTTACGTATGTGAACAGTTTACTCGACCCCACAGTGTTGATTCCGGTTGTGATTAGCTCATTCTTATTCAGCCCTCTGCCTTCATCAACATCACACAAAGGACAACGGTCACAAAACGGTCCTGCCGTCTTCTTATCTGTGACACACACGTTAAAATGCGCGACTTGTTTCACTCCAAAGACAGAAACAAATCACACTAAAATAAGGATAAAGAGGCCCCTGTTGTACATTTGATCAGATTATATGCGGAATAAAACTCGCAGAGCTGAATGCGCAAACCATCTGGCAGCTGCAAAACCGGCTTTATATTCATACCTCCGATTGGAACTATGGATCCTCCGGTTGTGACTAATAGACAAATGACTGTGGTTGTTCAGGGGAAATTCAGTGGCTTTAAGTGAGACAAAGTGCTGAAAACACAGACTCATTGAGAACACAGCGTACGAAGAATGATGATGAATTGGAAATGTGGCCCATCAGAGCACAGGAGTTAAAGAAAGACGCAGACACGGAGCGGAGCAGAAGCCCTGGCGCTCACTCATTCTGCAGAGGGGAAATTCCTTGTCAGTGTCGGAGTTTTGCAGAAAGCCCAGACCTTGGGAGGCGTGGCCAGCACGTCCCCCGTTGAACCCCGACACCATCAATCACCGTGTTTCTTCATTACGGCCCATGCGAGGCTCCGTTTGGAGGTTAGGTTGACCCGCTGCTTTCCATTTAATCGCAGTCGGAGCGATGGGTCCGCTTATCGAACATACACCATGTTGAGTTCTAGCATGGCCGCTTACACGGCTGGAAATAGATCTGCGGCTATCGCTAGACAAAGGTAGTTGGAAATAGACAAGGTCATGCACTTTGCTGGTGTAGCTAATAATGGCACGGCCGATCAAAATTTGATCAACATAGAAAAATAGCACCGTGACTTCCGGTTGTCTGGCTTATGTGCATTGTGTTTTTCGGTCCACTCTGAAGACATGGCCACATTGCACCAGAATATTGTCTAGATAAATGGTTAGCACTGCAGCTGTGGGCTCCACCACAGATTGTCACCTGGGGTTTATAGACCTGCTGTGTAAATTAGAGATAACTTATCACCAAAAGAGCTGTGCAGCAATAAACAGTGTCGCAGAGAGAGAAGGAAGGGGTGGGACTCACAGACGGCTGGGACAATTGGACATAGGAGATCACTTTGGCTCTAGCAATATTATATGCACAGGGTCCTCTAGGTTTCTTTTTCAGCTGCGGTGTGGGGAGTTTTCTCTCTTTGCAAATGAAAATACATTTCGAGGCCTCTTTGTTCAGTTCAGGCAGCATTATGCACAAAGCACTTTCTCCTTGATCCCGGTGAAATGAAGTGAGTCATAGACCATATACAGGATCAGACAGAGAACTTGGCGTCGGCACACGGCTCAAAATCTGAAAAGATTCCTGCCGATGCCAAGGCCCGCCATCTCCATGGCTACCGGATATTGCAGCATGAGGTCCAAAGCAAGCTCTCTGGCTTTCCTATGGATGCAAAAGGGTTATGGCGGCGGATGCCTCGAGTCAACAGCAACACGGGAAAGTTTTCCAACGTTTGTCTCGTCTAGGCTTTTTTTTTTTTTTTTTACAATATGGGGCTCATCCACTGCCGAATCGCTCTGCGTGCATCTTTTTCAATCAGCATTTCCAGAATATTGTCACACTATGTGTTGTTCTGGGTGTATGGCCACTTTCTCCTGCAGTCCAATTTGATTCAGGGCTGCTCGGTGTGTCCTGCCTTCTGGTGTGGCAGAGAGCTGTGGGAGTGTGGGGCTGAGCGTAGGTGTGCGAGGGTTGCATGCCGCAGCAGAGGAGTGGATCCTGACATAAGCCAGACCGACTCCTGTACAAATCCTTTCCATAAATTCTTTTCTCCACACAACTAAATCTGTTCATGCGATCCAGCTGCCGTTTTTCTGCTAACTCGTTACATCATTAAATCCTTTTTTTTTCTGGCTCACTCTTTCCTTTTAGGCGATATCTAATTTCCCTGTGCCGGCTTTTATTTCAGATTCTGTTGATTTTCCTTCTTTTCTCTTGTCTTCATGCTCTTGCTATACTCTCCCAATTGTTTCCTTCCTCCCTCCCTCTCTCTCTCCTCTCTCCCCTTCCTCAGTATTCACTGGATAAGCAAGGGCAGTGTTGCTCAAACTGAACGAGCACTTCCTGGTGTTGTTTTTGGGGGGGGCGTGACCAGCCTTCAGCGAAGAAGAGAGAGAGGGAGGGAACGGGGACTGCAGAATCTCTATGCCCTGTGCAGTCAGGGCTCCCTCCTCCTCCTCTTCTTCTTCTTCTTCTTTCTCCTCCTCCTCCTCCCCAGCTGTTGCTACTGCCACCCAGCGAGCACCCCTTTCCTCGGGCGGCAGACGGACGATCCAGAGGCTGGTGAGTCAGTAGAGACACGGCTCAGCCCGTCTCAGCGCGGCTCAGTACAGCCACTTCAGGACGCAGGGGAGGGGAGACACAAGCGCACGCAGCCAATGCTGCAACGTACACACACACACTCACGCACACAAGCACAGAAAATCACACAGACAAACACTCCTCGCCCTCTCTCTCTCTCTCTCTCTCTCTCTCTCTCTCTCTCTCTCTCTCTCTCTCTCTCTCCCCCCTCTCTCCCTGTGGTGCTCGACTCCGCACAGCTCCTTTTACTCATTTGCTGCCGATTCACTCGCTCGCCTGTCTTCTGCCAGTCGCTCTGCCTTGCTGCGCTCTGCCTGCCTGCCCGAGAATGGTCCAGCCGGTGCCTGGGGGTCTGCTGTCGCGGCCTGTCTGAACACACGCATAAACACAGAGTCAATCGGCACGCGGAAGCGAACACACAGACACACGGGCACAGACCGGAGAGCAATGTGAGAGGTAAGAGATCGGTTCATAACCCTCCTCCTTGTTTATCTAGGTATTTCCGCTTGTGTGTTGCAGTCTTTACTTTCCAAAGTAAGCGCCTGTGCAGAGGAACATATGAAGAGAAACGGAGATTGTTTGCTTTAGTGTCGCTTGTGTGTGTGTGTGTGTGTGTGTGTGTGTGTGTGTGTGTGCGCGTGCGTGTGTGTTCAGTATGTGGGCCACAGGGTTAACCTTGATTTGTTACGGCTTGTTTTATAGATATATGAGGACACACACACACGTGCACGTACAAAAACGTGGACACACAGCCAAGGTGCATTCTTGGCTCAAAGCGGACTGTCGCACAATAGCTACTTCCTCAGGGTAGCGCTAGTTAACAAGAAAAATGTGCTGGTGTGTGTGTGTGTGTGTGTGTGTGTGTGTTTGGAGGGCCATGGTTGTTCCAGGAAGCAGTGAAGAGGATCAATAGATCGCCCACTCAGCTTTCATTCCCCCCGTCTGACTCAACGTTGGACATGTTAGGAGTTATCCTGCAGGGCTTGGTTAACAAGGAGGATGGTCAAATCGGATTCCCTCCCGTACCTCTCCCCTCGCCTGCTGCGTCAGTGTGAAGGGGCAAGCGTGGCTTTGCATGCGCGTGTGCTGTGCGGGGCAAACTACCCGCCCCGCCGCATGTAAATTACGTGTGACATGTGAGGCTGCTGCTACCTTATATGGTGAGCACAGTATTTCAGTACAGTTGGATGTTGCCAGGCATTCCGGGTCGCGGCAGGCAAGAGAGTTTGAGAGGGTGACTCTGTCTTTTGGATTGTGTACTTTAGTTTGTGTGTGTGTGTGTGTGTGTGTGACTAAGTGAGTGTTTTCATGTGTCTGACAGAGGGGGAGTAACTGAGAGAGAGGAAGAAAGTTGACGACAGAAAGAAAGAGGGGGAAGAACGAGAGAGACGGGGTTAATGAGAACCAGTAAATAAAGGGATTTTATTATTCTAGTAACTGGAGTGGAAGTAAGTAGTTTTGTACTTTATTACGGCTTTAGGAGATAATGTGAGATTGCCCTGTAATGTTTTTCTTTCTTTCGTGAGTTAAGTTTGGTTTGGCTCCCAGGATCAAGCGAAGATTAACGGACTGAAAGTGTTTTTTCTTACGTGCGATATTATCTGACTCTCTGACCAGAGCAACCGTTTCAATGTTTTTTCCCAGGCATTTATTCTTTCGGAGAGTCCAGAAACCGAATAAAAACCAGGCGTGTTTCCGGTCAAATCCATATGGCACGCAAAAGCCATAGGATCTCCAGAGCTTTAAACTTTAGCCTTCGGTCTCTCGCCTCTTTCTTTGTCCCTCTCCTCGCCACCTCGACCCTCCTCCCCCTCGCCGCTCTGCGCTTCCTCCTGGTGCTGTGGTTGTGGCGATGATGAGGAATGTTGTTGTTGTGACTTAGGGGGATTCAGGGTGGCTCAGACAGTAGCGCACACACACATGCAAGCATGCACAACACAGACAGATGTGTGGCAGATTGCATTGTTGAGACTTTCTGAAGTCCCCCCGTGGACACTTTGCTGTGTGTAGACTGTCAATTTCTGACTAGCAGACGCTTGAGGGAGGTGCTGCCGTTGTCGATGCGAAGATTATGGCTAATAATGTCGAGGAGGATATCGCTCTCTCTCTCCGTATTGATGTGTATGAACTGAGGTGCAAATTGCTCATTATTTACGTTGAACTAGGATCTGCCCTACGGACAGGATTACATGCATGGTTGAATCTTAGCTGACAAGTTAAGCCTTTGTTACACGAGGGCTCGTTTGTATGTTCCTACTGTGTTATGACCACATTTCAAGCCCCTCTGAGCAACAGTTCAACACGGCTTCTGCTCAGCGAGACACCTTCACTTTGAGCTGAGCTCAAACGAATTGCCTTCAACCGATGTCAGAGACACAGTAGCTTTCTACTCTTTTCGTAAAGTGTTTCTCATGCATTGCGGTATATAAAGTAACAAAGGAAGTTTCCACCTGACCACACAACAGTGACAACAAGCAGAGCGGGCAGCACAGCCTGCAGCCAGTGACAACGTTATTTCGTTTTTGCTCGAGCCTCAACACAAGTCCTTGTTTTTCTTCACCTCGGTGGCGTGAGCTCTTGCGTGTAGCCGTGACAGCTCAAAACCTCTCCATCTTTGGAGCAGAGATGGTGGCCGCAACATTTAATGAGACACCCCTGCCCTGATAGTCACCCATACTCTCTCTCTCACAGTCCCTTCCTTTGTCTCCGTCATTGTGACCTCCCCCGGGCCCGTTGGCCTCGGCGTATTCGAGGCAGGTCCCATCACAGACGGGTAGATGTTGCTGGTACGTTAGTGTCGCTGGTCCACCATGTAAATGATTCATGACTAACTGAAGATCATACAGATAACTTACGTAATGTAGTGGTAAAGAAGCCAAAACCCAACATGTCTAGTGTACACTCCAACCACAAGGCACATCGCCTGAAGATAGAGGAAGTGTAGCGTAGCCCAGGAATGAAACCATTCTGTGCAAATTAGGGGTGTAACGATTCATTCACTGAATCGATTAATCGATTTATATTCCTGCGATCCAACTGAATCAATCTGTGCTCCGCAAATCGGCATTCCGGACGACATATATCGATTACAAATCGATTGAAATGGTACATAATCGATTGTATCGATACTTGGAAACTGTACAAAACGTATGGATGTGTGTTTGTTTGTTTGTTTTTTAGCACTTTAGACACGTTAAACGTTACTCGATTCAGTCTGCCTGTCTGTGACGTCATCAGTACGCAGCGGCAGCCGCGCGAAACTCGGAACAACAGCGAGACATTTACAAACCAACTTATCGATCCAGCGCGTGGAAACATTTTGGCTTTTGCAAACACAGAGGTGTTCTAAATAAGTCGGTCGCTGTTTGTAGAATATGTAGAAGCCAAATAAAAAACCACGGAAACACAACGAATCTTTCCGGCCATCTACTAAGGCGCCGGGGGACTAAACAACGGCGACAGTCAGGACCTCTAGCAGCGTCACCGCTGCAGCAGCAGCAGGTAGCTCTGCAGACACCTCAGGCCTCGCCAGCACCAAACTCAACATCACAGAAACAATTGCAGAGTTTATCTGTAAAGACATGCGACCCTACAATGTGGTTGAAAATCCGGGGTTCTGTAAATTGATCCAAACATTGTGTAATTATTGTGTAATGTTTACATGGAAAATGGCACTTGATTCAAATAAAAGGTTAATACATTTGCCATTAATTGTTGTTTGCTTGTTTATAATATCCATAATTAATTTAAACCTGATTTCCTTACAAGAAACAACAGGGATCTCAGAAACTTTGCCTGCACTGTCCAGTAAAGTCAGTGAATCGATTTCAAGTCACTGAATCGAATCGTTCTAAATTAACCCAGATCGTCCATGAATCGAATCGGCAACCATGAATCGCGGTTCGAATCGAATCGTTGTTAAAATGAATCGTTACACCCCTAGTGCAAATGGTCAAATGATAAGTGCTCCTCCAACCATTCACTCCTGGTATTTTCAGGTTTTCTCCTCTCAATGATTCAGGTTTTCCTAGAATGTGTAACCTGCCTGCGTATGTGGAAAGCAGCCTTCCTCTGCCCCGGCACATTGACACAGACAACATAACTGTGAGCCAACGAGACACTCGTTAAGCCATGAGGCCGGCCATTATCCTCATTGACTGCATGACAACTCACACACAAACATGCACACAGAGATGCAGTGTTGCACAAACACTCAGATATTCACCACAGCTTAAGAACACCCTCTGTCAGGACGCATAGCGGTTTGTGTGTTGTATAGGTTAGTGTGTGTGTGTGTGTGTGTGTGTGTGTGTGACGGCTCTGTCCATGTATACTAAACAAGAGATGTGATTGTTTCTCAGAGGTTTGTCTCAGAGAAATCAATAGGCATTGTTTGTTGTGCGTTCCTTGCCTTCTACTTTATTTAATTTGGGGGGAAAAGTCAGTTAAACTAATATTCAAGTGTAGTATCATGACTTGATAGCGATGACAACAAGGAGGTCAATAGCAATAGCAACAATGGTTGTTACTCAAATTAGCTAGAATTGACAGACACAGCCAGTCCAATAATAACAAACTACGCTTAAGTATAGATCAATTGTGTATTAACCATTAAGAGCGAGTCGAACATGCACGAGTATCAATGCAAGGTCAATGAGGGCAATATGGACATGCTATATTCGAAACACGTGGAGCAGCAGGAGTGAGTCTTGTGGTGTTGCATTTCCTCGAGCGTCCTTCCACTCAGACGACCTGTCTTAGCACACTGTCACCCTGACTCCACCTCTGTCAATATGCTGAAACCGCTCCTTTTACCAAACAGCCGCAAGCCAAGAGAGACGGGCGGCTCTTTCTCTGCAGTCAAAGCTGGGAACAGGAGCTCCGGCTGGGAGCTGTGGTTTGTTAGTTAGGTTGCCATATCAAATTTTACAACTTCAGCGTAGCATTTTGCCTTAAGCTCTGCTCCTGGTGCATCAATTAAGTTTCTAAACCCTTGTGATCTGTGGTGTTGAAACATTCTAAACTAGACTAATAATGTGCCACTCCCTCATTTCTGAGGTACCATTACTGCAAACCCGCCCGTAGCATTTAGCCTTCTAGACCAAACCAGGTTAGAAACGAGCATGTTGGTTTTATAGCTCTGACTTTCAATCAGTCGAGACATGCCTTCATACAGGGAACAGCTCCCTGTGTCCTAACGTCCGTGCGTCACCATCACAGCCCACCGTCCAAATCCGTGGCAGTCATGCATAGTTTGCGCTTTCATTGGAGGTTAAACGAGTGTTTTTCGACAGTGTCTTGTTCGTTTGGGAACAGATGTGTCTTGTGACTCACGCGCAAGAGAAAGTAAATGACGGCTGGCTTTTCTTAGCCGGAAACCGTTTGTGCCGTTTAGGCGTACGGTAGTGTCACGTGGCCGCGAGCTGCGGCGGCTTGCCTGCTGATATTGAAGACACACTTTCCCTTCTTGCAGCCATGTAGTGCTTTCTGCCACGTGTCCTAAAGGTCGAAAGGAAGTATCCGTCCGTTTGAGTTCTCTCTCTCTCTCTCTCCCTCTCCCTCGCTCCTCCTCTGTCTCTCTTTCGCCATCTTCCCTCTCTCCGGTGTGGTCGACCTTGCACCAGCTTGTGAGACCTTGGAATCTGAGGTAGTGCTGCTGAGGATGCTGGACGGGAACGCAGGCCAGACCGTCACAACCAGGGCGCACAGGCATGGGCGGAGTTGGGGAGGGTTGAGGGAACTCTAGAACCAATGTGGAGAAGCACGCGCTGGGTTAACGCAGTTTCAATCCTGTCGTTAGAGAAGATAAGTAGATGGCATTTATAAGTCATCTATTTGAAATGGATGCCACGGGCACAAAGAGCACCAACCGCTAAGTGGAATTAGATAAAGGGAGTGGCATACTGACAGGAGAGACCGTACAGATGAAGAAATCAATAGGGGAAGGACACCCATGTCCAGACATGATAGATCATAATGAGCTCTCATTATCTCTGGCACTGTCTCATACCGTACCACATTGTCTGTCTCTCACAGATATGTGCTCATCTGGCTCTAATAGAAACCATAGAAACCGATTAGGCAGCCAGACAGAATACCGGGGGGAAGGTTGGGGGCGTTTTGCTCCGTTTTCCTGCATCAAGTCATCACATTCTCTCATTTGATTGAAAACAGCTTGCGGCACCTTGAATTTCAAACATTTTAGGATATCGGTGTGTCTTCCACCCAACGAAATCCTGTCGAGCTGTGGCTAAGGGTCAGTCTGAGGAGGTCCCAGTTGATCCTTGCTCACCTGAACTTAAGTCTATTTGGGAAGTTAAAGTGGGCTGCCATGAGCCCTACCGACTCAGCCATGGCAATGAACATGCGTAATATCAACATCAAAATAATATCATCGAAGGGCATACAGGGTTACATGGAGAGATAAGACTTGGCTGACTCTGCATTTTTCACAGCAATGAAGATAAAATTAGGGAATTTACTTTCAAAACAAACGAAACATGAAATTAATTCTGGGTGCACTTTGTCAAATTGATATCGTCTACCATGGAAAGTCCATGATATGGCAGATTTGTACTGTATGTGGGGGTTTGGCAGTAGTAGGGTTTGTGTCATGATTATGCTTTCAATCCAAAGGTCACTTGTAGCAGTAATGCTACTTTTGCAATCGTAGGGGTCACCCAAGGTGAAACTAAGCTCCCCTTCCCCCTACCTCACCCACAGCCCGCCCTTCACTCTGTAACGTATATCCATGAGGCTGGGTCATCGTGATCTGGTCCGTAGGGCTGCAGGGCTCTGATACAGCGTGTTGCAGTGCTGTAAAGCTAGAAGCTCTTCAGAGCATTGCTGAAGGTGCACATGGTGTTCTGGGTGATTTCTCGACACAGGGTGTGGTGAGTTACCCTGCCTGAGCGATAAGAGCCGACTGGGCCCACGGGAGCCCAATCCTTCAAATTCCCCCCAGCAAACCCGTACAATGGATTCACCCAAAAAACCCTAAAGAAATATCAAAATAATAAAAAAATATATATAGCTTTTTTAGCATTTTATTTAGAAAGGAGTTTATGGACAATAATACTGTCCCCGATCTTTCACGTATTTGTTCACGAGATGGCAGGTAGTCATAGAAATAGCAAGTCGAATTATTTTTTAAACGTGTGTGTGTGTGTGTGTGTCTCTCTCTCTCTCTCTCTCTCTCTCTCTCTCTCTCTCTCTCTCTCCAGCACCAGGCAGGTCGGCCTCCTCTTTGCTCCTCCCCCTGTTCTCACCTGGCGCTTAGCCCAGAATGTTGCTGCAACTACGCAAGCTCTCATTGGTCCCCGCTCTCACACCGCTTTGCAAGAAGGGAAATGACTAACTGCTTCTCCCTCCTGCCCTGCCTCGACTTCCCCTCTGCTTTCACTCTCTTCCTTTTACTTCACCTCTGAACACATTTGCAATGGCGGGCTTTGCTGGACTCCACTGTAAGTGATACGGGATTTGAGCAGATTTTCCTGCGTTGACCAGAAGAGGTGGAAAGATTGTGAATAGCTGCTTTGTGTATGTATGTGTGTGTGTGTGTGTGTAGCGTGGCCAGATGAGTGTGTGTGCATGCCATGTGTGTTCAGAGCGCCGGGCGAGTGAAAGTTCTGTTTGTTTTAGCTGACACCCCTCCGTTTCTAACATTTTTACATATTCTTAGTTCCCACAGTGCTTAGCAGCATATTGAAAAATGCTGCAGGTCAGAGCCTCCTATGAAAGATAAACAAAGGAGTGATAAACCTGAATGTTTTCTTTGGATGTGTATCGTCCGCCCTAATCGCTTTCTCTCTCTCTCTCTCTCTCTTTCTATCTCTCTCCCCAGAGGAAGTGCCTTCCCTGATGTCTGCTGCAGCTTTGACCTGCTTCTACAGCTGAAGCTCCACCCCTCCTCCCCCCCCTCCCACCCTCTCCACCCCCCCGCCGCGCTCGCTTGCTGCCACGGTAACACGAGTACAAGGACAGCGGCAAAAAATCCACATCGCGGCCTACGCTCCGACCTGCTCGTCCATCTATCCACCCACCCACCCACACACCCACTCCTCGCAGCAGGGGGCCTCCCGCCTCGGCTCTGCCATCGGCCCGCCACCAGCCGACCAGCCTTACCACAGCAGCTCCAACGCACCACGCAGCATCTCACCCACCTTGCCTTTTAACCTTTGCCTTCAACCCACAAGGCCTGCGCTCGGTCCTTCCGGTAGCAGGCTATACCCAGACTGTCACCCTTGTTGCCTGCTTCACTGCATCTAACCAGAGGGCTCTCGCCCTGTGCGGCTGTTTGCCTCCTTGGCTTATGAATGCTAGAGGTGAGTTGGTCGTGCGAGCAAAGTCGGGCCACGAGCGGCACCACCTCCGTTGTTAAGCTGACCCCGTCTCTCGGATACAAACGCGCCTGCTGTGGTTGATTGATTGGGAAAGATTCCAATAACATTCGTCCTGCAACATTTCACTTCACGGAAAAAAGGAGCCCTTTCAATCGATTCCTTTCAACGGCACAGACTCTCACAACAGATTCAGAGAAATAACTTATTTTTGGATTAAAACAATAGAGGTACTTTATTCGCGCTTGAACAGATTTCAGCTCGGAATACCGATTGCCAGCGTGTTGCCATGGCAATGAACATGGCACACATCCGCGACACAAAGTGGCTGACGCTTGAGGTATGCCGGGAGTTCCAAAGGGGCACGTGCTCCCGCTCCGACCAGGAGTGCAAGTTCGCTCATCCGGCCAAGAGCTGTCAGGTGGACAACGGTCGGGTCATCGCGTGCTTCGACTCGCTCAAGGTAAGAAAGGAGAAGTGGAGAACAGGAAGTCTGGAGGTCAGATATCAGACACACACACACACACACACACACACACATGTTGTCTAACAGATAAGATGCTGTGAACTGCGGTCTGACAGATGGAGAAAATGCACACTGGAAATAGCAGTTTCCAAAAGACTGTGTCCTTTCAGGGCGCACCATCTGGATACAGCATGTGCTCTCATTGATCCCACCTATTTCTGGTCAGGTGACTGGAACATGTGATCAACGGCACAGAGGGGAGGGGGGAGTAGCAGCCTTTTCAGATTCAGGAAGCAGAAGTCAGGCGTCTGTAACACTGCACTGTGGAATTCGTAGGAGACGCTGAAGTGTTTGCCGCGTGTTTACTGCACTTATTCCAGCAGTCATTTAGGAGTCACATTTCTGACTGACTGCACCGTACACAAACAACACTAGAGACTAAATCAGCACCGTGCCCCTGCAGGTGAAACCCACTGCTGTGTGCTGGCGTTTGAACAGGAAAGCACAGATGAATTGGCTGTGTCATGTACAAACCCATATGGATGCCTTGAACACTTTTCAGCAGCTAGAGAGGAACGGTGGCGTAGCATCGCCGCGTAGCTCTCACTCACTCTCACTGTTTCCGCTGCAGACAGCGGCAAAGAAGCAAACACCTCTTCTTCTTTCTCTCTGTCTTTCACAATCTGTCTTTTTATCGGAGCATAAGATCTCTAGCGATGGGCGGACCTCCACCCAAAGTTTCCAGCGTTGACACACACACACGCAGAGAGAGTTTGTGTTTTCTGTTTGTGTTGTCACCCTGCAGACACTGGTGACTCGTGGTCATTGGCAGCGTGAGGTTTAGGATCAGCCGCATGTGTGTGAGTCGAGGGTTTGGAGGCGATGTGGACAGAGGAACATTGTCACGGCCTGGCTGAACTCTACCAAAGACTCCTCACGATGTGCATGTCACAAAGCAAAATAAGTCATTATTGCGTATTTCGTCTTGAGCCCTTCGTCCTTTGTCAATCATTCTAATCTCTGGAGATTCCCACAATAAGACTCCCTCTCTTCTCGTAAAGAAGTCGGTTCCACCTGTGATCCGACCACATCTGCTGAATGCTTATTTAGTTTCCCGTTAGACCATGTTGAAGTGATATCGCTGTGTCAAGGGATATTACAGAATTCATGTTCAAGTAGTAACAAACTAGAATAATGCTGTAAGACACTGAGCCACTGAGATCTAGATGTCATGGCTCCCTTATGTAGACAGTCACTGTCTGCACAGCAGAGCGTTTATCCACAGGCAGAAGGATCTTTGTTTGTGAACTTCTGTTTAAAATCTCATTCACACTGAGGTAAAGGTCAACTCCTGGAAAAGAGTAGCTCGCAGAAATATGAAGGGCTTTTGAGGGAACCAAGGGGCCTATTTTAGTAGTTTGGACTCATTTTCCACTAGGACTTGTGTGTTAATGACGATGTGCGATACTTTTTTTTAACCGTGCGCCCCATTTTTTCCACTGGTAATGAAAAACAGAGCAGGCTTCTTAAACCCGCATTGGGGGGGGAGAGAGAGAGAGAGAAAAGGAGAATGTATAGGCAGGATAAGAACTACATAAGAAGTACAAACATACCCATTCACAATATTGTTAATATTTCCTGTCACATTGACCCAGAAACACTGAATGTCCCATTTTACTTTTCACCCACGTTCATTGGTTCAAATGAGATAAAGTTCTCAACTTAGTCATTGCCACTTGAAGCCACATCCCTCCCCGTTACCCGTGCGCCCAAAGACACATACGTGCGCGCACACCGCATCGTCTTGGACACGTGCGCACGCTTTCTGCCCATGAGAGAAGATCGGCTGTGTATAATTAGAACAGGTCTCACATGATCACCAGTGCATAGCTCAGCAGGTCACACCCAAACCCGGCCATTTCCCCAGCAGCGCCTCTCTCTCTGTCTCTCTCTCCCCGACCTCCTTTTTTTCATGGGGCCCACACACACAGAAAACCATGTCGAGTCAATGCATAGTGAGTTCGAGCAGGGAATATTATTGCACAACAAAGGACGTTCTCGGCTGTAATCCGAAGTGGATGATCTACCCCCAAGCTAGACGATCATTCTGCACCAAAGTTTCCATCTAGGACGCGGACTTGAAACAAAGTGGCGTGCACGTCTCCGTGCAACGTGCGCGCGTGGGTGTTCGCTGGCCTTCGACCCGTGCTCCCCGACCTCAAGAGTGCGGCCCGCTCGGTTGCCTGTGGATCGGTTTGGCGCTGCGCAGGCGGCCCAGCTATGCCGAAGCAGAGTAAATATTTGGAGAAGGACAGTGGCTGCCACAGCTCCCAGACTTAAAGCCGGCTTTGTAACTTTTAACTATCAATGATTAACATCCGAGCGCACGCTCATTCTAAATCGGTCTTTCCTAAGTATTCAGATCGGCTCTAACCGTTGGAGCAGGTGGAAAAAGCCTTTGAGCACCGCCAAACTGCGCCGAGAGCTTGTGAGGTGTAATAATATGTTGAGGAAGTAACCTACTGCTCAGTAGTCGCAAACGCTAAACTCGACTACTTAAGAGTCAGAACGCAGAATGCTACGTGCCCCATTAGTTTGTACTAGGATGAGTCAGAGAGGATATAGGTTACTCTCTGCCGTTAATGGACTGTTACCCTGCAGCTCCACCACACCCACACGTGGGTAAGCTGCCAGCTTTATTTCAAGTACTGTACCATCCCACTTTCATTTGGTGCAAGCCTATTCTAGTCCGCCGCTGCTTGTTTTCATTCTCCTCCCAGTTTGGTTACTCCTTCGGCTTGATTTCCTGCTCAGTCTGGTTTTCGCCTCATTTACTTCAGGCCACACCCATCCCTGGACAGGGTGGTTCACAAGTGCGCGCACCCACACACATACACACATAATCTCATCTAGCAGTAGTTTATGGGCTGAGGGGTCCACTGACCTTGTGTGAACCTAGGTGCAGGAGGTGTTTACCCCCAACACAGCTGTCTGTGTCATAAAAAGTGCTATCCTTCTGACATGGATGTTTGAGTACACAAACATAAATAGCCAGCATAGACCTTGTACTGTGTCTACCTGCCAGCCTGAGATCATGTCTGTGTTCTGGGAAAACGAGGACAAACACATGTGCGCGGTCATGTGTGTGTCGGTGTCAGTTGTGCTGTTGCAGCGGGTTTCTTTGTGTTACCACGCGGTCTTTAGCCAAGATTACATTCCTGCAGAGCAGAGGGCGGGATGTCATCGCTTTTTTATCTCTCTCTGTCTCTCGCTGCCTCGCATTGCTATCAATCTCCTCGAGTTTTGCTGATCCGATCTTGACAGCATGTTTATGTGCAGTGGGAGTACAGTAAGGTTAGACACACACACACACACACACACACACACTCACTGAGAGATAGGTGGCCAGACATGTATGTGAGGTAAATATTAGCCGACGAATGTGTATTGAGCTCTGCTGTCACACGCTGCATTAAAGGACACGCTGCACATGGCCACGTAGAGGCAACGGTTCTTTTCCGTCATTTCTTTAAAAAAAACAACCATATTTGGTTTGATGGTCTCATTTTTCGGAGCATTTATTTTTAACCATGTTTACCTCGCCGTTACAATGTGCACAGTGTGATGGCACCTGAATCTGACCAAGACAGATGTATTTTCAGGTTGGAGGTGTGTGGTTATGAGCAGCACTGAGGTGACCTCAGGTCCAGGTGCGGTTCAGACGCGGTTTCACGGCCCCTCTGCATACGATGCCCCTAATTGGGTTTTTAATGGGATATCTGTGTGCGTTCAAAATGAAAGTGTCTCTCCTTTTAAATTAACACGGTTTGGAGTCAGTCATCCATTACATTCAGCTTTTACCAGAATAGAGTTATTCCTATCGCAGCGGCGTCGGCCTGGCGGCGCTCGGCGCTCCCCGCTCGCATCGCCGGGGATTTTTGGTGCAGCAAGAAGGATTCGTTACGTCTCTGTGTCCTGGCTTTGATTGGTTTATTCTTACGTCTTTGTCACTTTCATGCTCGAGGGATCCGTGTTTGGACCGCTGTGTGTGTGTGTGTGTGTGTGTAATCTAGGGCCGCACACACACTCACACACTTCTTAGGTCTGCTCCTTCCATTGTGTGTGCATCCTTGTCGGATCTGTTTAGCTGTGCGTCTTCTCTGTGAGCCTATGTGACGGAAGATCAGCAACAATGGTCTTTTCTTCTCAGTGTCAGCCGTCCCTGTCCCTCCCGCCACACTGGACCCCTTTATAACGCAACTGATACAATGATCAATTCTCTAGCCTCTCTCTCTCTCTCTCTCTCTCAGACATACTGTACAACCGTAGCGACGTAGGTTTGAACAAATATTGACAAATATTTGAACACTCAATCATGCTTTAAGTTCATATTGCAGAACCACAATGCAGCCAAACATCGTTCAAACCCACGTAACTTTATTTTAATACCAGGAACGTTTTATTTAGGAAGCAAATCCACAAAACAGGTGTTGTTGACGTGGCGAGTCTTGGCTTTGATTTCTTCTGTCTGTGTAAACATCAGAAAGCTTCAATAAAAGGCAATAGACAACAAGCCAGCACAGAATATCAAAGTATCAGACAATGTGGAATTTAGCATTAAAGTGCAGCTTAGTACTACGAACTGTCCGTAATATATAACAGAAGATCAATTACTCAATGTAATTGCATTTCTTTATATTGCTTTAAAAATGGGCACAAATACAGTATAGGAAAACAATTTAATCCGATTTTAAGGGAGTCTAAGGAGCCTAAAAGCTACTTAAGTGGGAAGCAGAAAACCCGGAGGAACGGGGGAGGACACAGTTTTAATCTCAATGCACCTTCAGCCGTGTAACTGATAAGGCCTGATAACCTCTATCCATCTCCGTCTGTCACATGCTTCCTCTCTCCTCTTTCTCGTCAGCTTTTTCATTGCCTTCCCTTACCTGCGAACCCTTCTGTCAGCTCTGCCATTATCCTCCCATTAGACAGGTGGA